AATAATAGTTTATTCACTGCCATAAAAAAACATTAGGTAGTATAGAAAAAAATTATAAGTGATCAACATATGACGGGCAGGAGAATAACAATACGCGGGAAGGAGTCAACCCCAACGAGTTGACAGGTACCCGGAAGTAAGAAGAAATTTTTTACAGTAGGCGAGAAGGGATATTTTCATAAAAAGCTTGATTCGGAAGATTATTCAATTTGTTCCGAAGGGTTTCTGGGGTGACGTTAAAATCTAAATAAGAAGTTAATTTGTTCCAAAGAGGAATAGTCCTAGAAAAAGTAGTCATTAGAAAAACTGACCAGCTGTCCGTAGTCGAAGTGGATTTCTCTGTAACAGGGATTGAGTGAAATACTTATTGCGATCGAGACAATGATCAGAGCCACAGACAATTTTATGTAGGGTGATTATATCACAAATTTTACGGCGAATGAACAAAGGTTTGATATTAAACTGATTGAGGCGATCAGAATAAGAAGAGAAGCTGACATTACAGCGAATGGAAACTTTCCGACTGAAGAGACGGAGAGATGATTCGAGTTTGTAGGATTCATCAGATGAAATAGCGGGTGAGAAAAGCTCGGAGCAATATTCAAGGACTGGAACCACGTAAGTTTGAAACATACGAAAGTAGTTAAGAGGAGAAGAAAATTTGAAGGTATTAAGTATTTGGTTAGAGCGTAAGGTGGCAAAGGCAGAAATTCGATTTATGTGTTGTTTAAAGGAGAGTTTATCATCAATAAACAGACCAAGATCACGAACAATGGAACTTTGAGGGATTTCAAGACGGTCGACGAAGTATCGGGTTCGAGGGTTGTCAGGACCAAAATGAACTGAGAAAGTTTTTTCGGAAGCAAGGGGGAGAGACCAAATGCGAGACCATTCTAGGATACCATTAATGCTGCTTTGGAGAGATCTGGGGCAGTTACTAAAAATTTTTATATCGTCTGCAAAAATAGAAATGGAGGTGGAGGCATCAATATAATTTTCAATATCGTTAATAAAAATCAAAAAAAGAAGTGGACCACTTACTGTTCCTTGGAGGACACCGGAGGGGTTAGGGAAACTAGAATCAGCAAAGGATTGGTTTACTTTAACAGTCGAAGTTCTATTAGAAAGGAAGTTGGAAAACCAACGACTGAGAGTTTGATCAAAGCCAAAATTATGCATTTTGAGGCGTAAGAGGTCATGGTTGACTTTGTCAAACGCTTTACAGAAATCGAAGTAGACAGCATCAACAGAAATTTTAGATGCCAAGGATTTCTGGATATCGGAAATTGAGCTAATAAGAGAGAGCTTACAAGATCTTCGATTTAAAAAACCAAATTGAAATTGAGAAAATCTATGAGAAAAGCGAGTTCTAACCATATTAGTAACAATCCGTTCAAAAACACGGGAAATTGGATGAGTAAGGGAGATAGGACGAAAATTGGACGGGTCTGAAAGATTTCCTTTTTTGTGAACAGGAATAATCGTAGTGGTTTTGAAGGAAGAAGGGATAATACCAGTAAGATATGATTCGTTAAAAATGATAGATAAAGGGAGAGAAATTGAAAAGGCACATTTTTTCAGGACTAGAAAGTTTATGTTATCCGTAGAAAAACCGCATTTTGGTGGTAAGGAGGTCAAAAATTTATATACAATTTCAGGAGAGAATGAGATGTTACAGTTGATAGGTTCCGGTGAGGGAAAAAGCTGGAAACAGGGGGAGCGTTAGGCGCGGCGAAGTTGGAGGAGAAAACAGAGGAAAAAAACATTAGCTTTAGAAGTGTCGTCAGTAATATAATTATCATTAAAAAAATCAAATTGGGGATGCCAGAATCTTGTTTTGAGTTGAGTAGATATGAACTTAGAAAGCTTGGAGCAATTGTAAGTGAGAGAAACCTTAGTGTGATGTTTTCTCAACAAAAAAGCAGTCCTTTTCCGAATGAGATTGACAATAAGATTTAACTTGTGACGTAAATAGCTAGTGCGGAGACCGTTTCTAATCAAAAGGGATTTTTTCTGAAATAAACGACGGATAATTCGATCAGTTTTAAAGTTGAAAGAGCGATTGTGTGAGATGACGGCTAGAGGACAGTTATCGCGTATCAATTCATTAAAAATTGTTAAAAAATGCTGAAGTTTGGATTCGACTGTTGAGAAGTAACTGAGTTGACGTACCCAGTTAAAAGATAATAAGGATAGATTGAGAGAATCAAAATCACATTTTATGTAGTTAAGACGACGATGAGGTACAGAAGGAGTGATAACAAAAGGGCAACTGAATTTGAATGAAACAGAATTATGATCAGAACCCAAGATAGGCTCAGTGATTTTGATATCAGTTATTGAATTAGAAGAATTAGAAAGAACGAGATCGAGGATATTAGACGAATGATCCGTGATTCTAGTGGCCGAGGTTACAAGTTGAGAAAAATTATAGCTCAAGCAAAAATCGAGAAGGGCTTGGGAACTAGGATTTGAACAGGACAGATTAGACCAATCAATGGAAGGAAGATTAAAATCACCAAGAATTGTACATTTGGAATTAGTTATAAAACGAGAAATATGATTAAATAAGTTAGAAGTGCGGTCAGTAGGAGTGGAAGGAGGTCTGTAAATTAAGAAAAAAACGAGATTTGGGAGAGCGAGGAAATACGAGGTCAAAAAGCTAGCATATCGCAGAAGTGAGAGGGGTAATACCTGTCATAAAGAAGATCCACTTCGACAATCGGCAGAGTCTTTCGAAAAATGATGATGACGCCCCCACCAGAAACTCTTCCTGAAGAAATAGAGCGATCTTTCCGAAGAAAACTGAAAAAGGAATGATTAAAAAGTGAGTTTGGAAATTCCTCGGTTAAAAAAGTTTCGCAAATAAAACAAATATCGATCGATAAAGACACAAGGTGGTCGAATAAAAGCTCAATTTTGCTTGAAAAACCTTTCATTCAGAATAAATTGCAGTTTAGTTCAGATCAAATTGTTTTTCCAATCTTTGAGAAAAATGAACTGGTTTTTTCACATGATACTTTTAAAAAGGGGACTCCAACGTGAAACAGATCTTATTGATTTCTGCGAACGAAAATGAAGGTATTGGACTTAAGATAGTGTAAAAGTTGTTCCACAAGTCGTTCTGACTGTTTCGAAGCTTGTGGCGGAAGCTTTGACGGTCGAAAAAAGTTTTTTCTCCCGTCTGAAAGCCTGTTGATGATATCACTTCTCGCTCATCTTCTTGCAGTTAACTTCTGACATAATTACTCGGCCGTTTATGCGTTTTACGCTTTTCCTTCCCTCTCCTCTGCTACGCATCATTCAGTTGGCCAGGTCTGGAAAACTTTTATTTCCCATTTTATAAAGTTGGCTTTGCTTTTCGACAGCTTCTCCGTTGCTATGATTTCATCGATCGACGTATAATGAACATGACTAACTAGTCGGGACTTTTGCTCACGTGACGGAAAATCAGTTGATTGGCTAATTAGTGGGCGATATCAGCCGCTCCTTCTCATTCTCTAACATTTCATTATTCAAAGAAACATCTGCCTTGAATGCAACTAGGCTGCTGAAAGCCCAATTCGAAGCTGCGATTAATTTCCTCTTTTCCTGAAACTTTGGACAAAAAAGCACAATCTATTCGACCTTTGGCGGCATCAACGCGTTTGATTCAATTTCGAAGCCGCTTGCAGAGGAAATAAGTTGTAAACGCGCCGCCAAGACAATTGAAGTTTCGAAGTTGCTCTCGCCGCGGCTCTTCAGCCCCACGAGATTTGCGAATTTGTGCTTTTTACTCCTTCTCCGCCTTGTGGACGTCGTCTTCTTTTTCTTCTTCTTTTTCTTCTTCCCACTGGATCCCAATATTTATATGCCATCAGTGGAGTGCGCAAGTGCGCTGTTCGTCTAGCTCGTCTTCCAGCTCGCTTTTATTCCCTCCTAATTAGTCCTGACTGCTTTATTCGCCAGAATATTGCGTGTTTTCACGAATCTCAACGCAGCTGCTATAAATTTATAATCTGCGCTCAGATTTTTTTCTTTCTTTCCAAATCGCTTCTACGGCGTGCATTTGATGAAAGACCCGATGTGTACACGTTCCGAATCCAGCAGAACCATTTAATACTGGCCTCCCTTGCCCCTTTCTGCTACGAAATTACCACTGAAAAAGATTGTAGCACGACAATCTCCCAGTAAACAGAATATTTCGAGTCTCATTCTATCTACTGATTTCTGTTCCAATCTGTTTGAAAATTTTTGACCTTGCTTCATCGAAATATGTTTGGAAGTTGGACCTCGACAGTGCGGTGGCCGTCATCAGGCAGTAATTCCCCAAACATTCAAACCGAAGGAAACCCTTGGAGAAGGTTCCCATCGATGCTAGCCAGACTGACGTCGATGGACCGATTTGACCAGCAAGTCTCCTTCTCGTCGACCTCTTCTCCTACTCCGGAAACAGAAGATTCTGATTCTTCGCTTCCGGCGGTGTGCTTCCGTGGAAGAAGTACCACGCAGCAAATGTGCTTCAATGCGACGACCTCATCGAAAAAAGTGGCTCGATCTGTTAGCTGCTTTTCCATGCCTAAACAGAACACTTTTCCGCGACCATATTCTTCTTGTTGTCTGTCTCCAGTTGCTCAGCTGCGGGTACCTTTTTTTTTCTTTTTTTTTGAGAAGTTTGACTCGGCTAATCAGTATAAAAAATTGTGTGACGCTTTTTCACAAAAGCTTTTTGTATTATGTTTAAAATACGCAGAGGGACAGATGAACCCTAAAAAGGAGATTTTTTTAATTTTTTTGTAAATTTGGTTATTGCGGAGATGCGATGACGTACGCCGATTAAAAATAATCTAAACTTGGGAATACGGTTTCAAAAGTATTCGCATGTTTGTTAAAATGTTTCAATTGGAATATTTTTTCAGAAAGACGTGTTGTCCCAGTCGCCAACCGCCCGTGCCTCGGCTGCTCGCAGAAGTCTGAACGCGTCGACGTCTCCAGTCGCGGCGCCGCGATGTCGCAGTCCTCAGTCGCGTGGTCCGTCCACCTCCCATCATTCGCGCACAACTGCTCCGGTGCCTTTAAGGTGAAGCTTTTTAAGTCTGGAAATTCTAGGTTAAATTATTGGAAAAATGAAACATTTTTGAAGAGATGGAGCATTTTGTGCACAATGAGGGTTTGTTTTTGCTCCTACGGCGTATGTGAATTCCCATGGGTTGACGATTAATTACTTGGCTTCGCTCAAACGTTCATGGACGCTTCAGCCTTTTCGAATGACATTGGAACACATTCAATTCTCAATGTTAGTAACAAGGAAAAATTAAAATTTTGTTTGGAAAAACCAGGGAAATTCAAAAAACTTGGAGGTGGTTCCTTCCGCAATTTTTTGTTTTGTTTTTCAAAGTAAACCAAAAAATGGGGTAATATAAAAATTTTTTCGCTAAGTTATATCAGGATCCTTTTTCTCATTCTTTAAATGTGATCTATGATCCAAAGATCAACCGGAAACTTATTCATGTAGAACAGGTGATTCGTTTATTTTTTTTTTTTGGAAAAAAGACTGACGCGATAACTGTAGAATTTTGATTAAATTGGACAGTTTGAGGTCAAGTTCGACGCGTAGTGGAAGCTCTCTGATGGCGCCTCAACACGATAATCGGAGATGGTCCTTGGCTTCGTTGCCTTCAACGAGTGGCTACGGCACCCCAGGCACAGGCAGCAACTCGGCTTTTTCGGTCCGTTCATTTTTTTTTCATCAAAAAAGTTTGTTTCGTTCGTAAATTTGGAAAATTTGACTTCTGCTAGTGACTCGTTTTCCTCGATATTTCGGAAAAAGCTTGCCTTTTTGATTGCTGAAAATTGTGAGATTTTTTTTTTTAATTTTGCTGTAGTAGCGATCAACTACCGTCGTTAAAGCAAAAATTGCTCTGAAAATCGAATTTATTGAATTAAAAAAATTAAACTTGTGGAGTTTTATTCTATTTCCAAAAAAAAGTGAATTGCCACACATCACTGCTTCAAACTAAGGCCATTTTCAGAGCCAATATTCTTCGTCGGAACACCTCGGCGAGATGTTCGAGTTCATGCGGATGGGCAACGCGTCGAATCGTTTCGACAGCAACGAAAGCTACCCTTCAGAAGAGGCCGTCCCTCACTCCTACAGACCGCGCAGTCGCAGTTTGACGTCCGTTCCCCATGATTTCCTCCATATTCATGGATTCTGCATTCCAGGAGTCCTGTCAAGTTCGCCAATGAAAACAACTTGGAGCTGGTCAACCGAACGAGTGTCTACAAAGAGCGGTTCCCGAAGGTCGTTTTCGGAGTTGGTCAATTGAAGAATTGGGAAAGGGTTCAGGCGAAAGTTCAAATGGAAGAACGTTTGGCGGCGTTCGTCTCGGAAAATGCTCCCTTGAGTGGCGGCGCTTCGACGGCGTCGACGACCGATGACCACAAAGACGAAGAGCAGGTCAAAATGCGGAATCGGCGCTCCACGGTCATTTTCATCTTTCTTTATGAATATTATCAGTTAGAGCGAGTAATTCCTTGGAATTCATTCAAAAACTGTTCTTTTGAAAACCCCGAGTTTTCGTTTCTAACTTCGAAAGAAAACAACCGCTTTACTCATTTATTATCAATTTTTCATGAAGGCGAAACAACTTTATTCGCGTATTCATGTAATCTTGCTTTTTCTGAAAGAAAAATTCAAAGTTTGCTTTGTTCGTTGAATCGCTTTGAGCTATTAAAAATAAAAAAATAAGTAGCGGAGAGATTTCGAAAAGGTAAAAAAATTTCTGAATTTTCGACGCTGGTCTCAGTTCTCAACGTCATTTTTTTCAAACTTCTCATTTTTTTCTGATTTTTCAAACCAGTTGAATCAATAAGCTTTATATTTCAAATGTTCCTTTTCAGGTTCTCGACGCGGAAAGCTTCGCCGATCGTTCTCTTTTGCGCATTATCGGCGATGGTGCGACTCGGTTTTTGCATCATCAAATAGTTGAGGTCCAGCATCTTCATTTTTTTTTTCTAATTTGAGCGTATTCTCGGTCCCTATTATAAATTTCAATCATTATAATATGTCCTTATTACCCTTTTTCACGTTAATTGGGTCAAAAAAACCTTTTTTTCTAACAAAAGACAAATGATAAGTTTTATGTTTATTTTGCATCTTTTAAGTAATCATAGAAGATCGAAAAATTCTCATTTCTGCTAGTTTTTTGTACCGTTTACCTTCTTGTTGACTGAAAAATGAAATGGACGAAGTGAGTTTAAAACTGAGTTTAAAGGATACCTATGAAAATTATTTGCATTGGTTCAACAGTGAGTGGAACTTTAGCGAAAAAAAACGAGTTATGGAACAGAAAATTTCCCTTCGAAGAAAACCCTGAAGTTGTAGGTGGCGGCTGACTGTCTCTCGAGGTCCCGCGACGATTCCATCACTTGTTCCTATTTCTGCGAGATGAGCCAGCGACTCGACGAAACTCTCAACGAGGTACACCTCTTCTAAACGATGTTTTTCGTGTCCCTTATCATTTCTCTCCCGATCGATGTATGTTGATTGAAATGGGGTTGTTTTTAAAGGCGCAAATGAAAACGAGTCGGGAGTCTCTGACGTACTTGTCCAAGTTGGTCAAGCAGCTGCTCATGATCGTCAGTCGACCTGCACGCCTTCTCGAATGTCTGGTACGTTTTCATAATTGCTTCTGAAACGCTTCAATTCCAACAACAGAAAATAATTTGAATGAAAAAAATAGTCAGTGAAAGTTCCATTTTTCATAGTTTCCTATTGATTTTTATTCAACATCTTCTGTCTGCCGGTGACTTGAGCCGCTGTTCGGAGTGATATCAAAAAAAAATGAATAAGGTGGCTAAGTTACTTTTGAAAAAGGTTTTCTATTTATCTGGAAGTTCAAGAATAATCGAATTTAGGAATTTGATCCTGACGAGTTCTACCATCTATTGGAAGAAGCTGAGGGAGTTGTCAGAGAGCAACTCGGCAGTGGGAGTGCCAGAGTCCCCGACCTACCTCAGTACATCATTGGTTCGTTGTTCTTCGCAATTCTTTGATGTGAAATATCCGAAGATCAGCGTCTGGAGATAAAATTTAGCCACTGTAGTGTAGTTGTGAGATGAGGATCTTTTCGCCTACAGGGAAACTTGGATTGGATCGAGATCCTCTGCTGGACGCTGCAGAACGAGCAGAATCCCCACCAGCGGTTTGTCCTTCATCGCATATCGAAACCTCGGATGTGACGACCAAAGCCGACGTCTCCGGCAAGGGATGGCCGACGGAGCAACGGGCACCTCGCGAGGACGACTTCGAGACGATTAGAGTTTGTCTTTTGCTTCTTTTTTTGGCTTAGCTGCATCTTGAATCATCAGTTCCTTTAAAAAAATTAGATTGTTTGAGCTCCTTCAAAAAATAAGACTATCAATATGTCAATCAAGTTTATCAAAAAAAAAATGATAATTTTTAAAACTAACAATCTCAAGAAAAAGAGTTTTTTTTTCGTAAATCTCGGATCCTATCAAAAGTTGACAACGATTGGACTTATTCCATCATAATTTTATTTTTATCCATTTTTGACCGCTGATCCTTATCCTCTCTATCGCATCGCCTTCATTTGTTAGTATTCTATTTCATTTCTTTGTCATATATTTTTTTCATTCGTTCTCGTGTTTTCTATTTTTGTTTTTCAATAAAATCATCGCACCTAAGATTGATTTCTAATATTTGTCCATTTTTTCAGCCGAAAAACGGCTGCGTGTTAATTTATAAAATTTCACTCCTCCCCAATTTTATTCAAAAGATTTCTCAATAAGTCTTAAAATTTTCAGCTAGTGAGCAATGGCGCCTACGGGGCTGTCTACCTCGTACGACATCGCGAAACACGACAGCGTTTTGCCCTCAAAAAGATGAACAAACAGACTTTGATGTTGAGAAATCAAGTCGATCAGGTAAAAAAGTTTTGAATTTTGAATTATTGTTTTAAATTGTGCCAAAAACACACTTTCCAATCACTTGAGATTGTGAGATCTCGTTTCATAGCTCGAAGAAGTTTGTATCTGGAATTTTCAAATGGGTTGCAGGTGTTTGCCGAGCGAGATATCCTGACGATGGCAGACAATCCTTTCGTCGTTTCCTTTTACGGCTCTTTCGAGACCCGACATCACCTGTGCATGCTGATGGAGTACGTGGAGGGCGGAGACTGCGCGGCGCTGCTCAAAAATGCCGGAACCCTGCCGATCGACCTGGTGAGGCTCTACGTAGCGGAGACGGTTCTCGCCATCGAGTACCTTCACTCCTACGGCATCGTCCATCGCGATCTCAAGCCAGACAAGTTTGTCATTTTCGTATGTCCTTTCTGAAGTGTTCGCTTTTCAGTCTACTCATCACTGCTATGGGGCATATCAAACTGACGGATTTTGGCTTGTCAAAGATCGGTCTGATGAACAGGACGACCCTGGTCGCCGAGGGGTACGACTCGGTCGCTGAGACTCAGCAGTTCAAAGACAAACAGCTCTGTGGAACTCCCGAGTACGTCGAATCAAGAATATCGGATAGAAATTGTTGGAATTGAAGATACATCGCTCCCGAAGTGATTCTTCGTCAAGGATACGGCAAACCTGTCGATTGGTGGGCTCTCGGAGTCATCCTCTACGAGTTTCTCGTCGGAATCGTTCCGTTCTTTGGAGATTCCCCTGAAGATCTATTCTCGAAGGTACTCCGATTCCAGGGAAGGTGGATGTATTGAAGTTTCAGGTGATCACTGAAGAAGTGGAGTATCCAACAGAGGAAGAGGCCTTGTTACCAGAGGCCGAAGACTTGATCAAACAACTTTTGGAAAAGAACCCCGCAGAAAGATTGGGTTTGTTTTCATTTGAATTTCAAATCTCAAACCTGTTTCAGGGACTTTGAACGGTGCCGCGCAGCTCATGACACATCCGTTTTTCGAGTCCCTCGACTTCACTTCGCTTCTTCGGCAGAAGGCCGAGTTCGTTCCACAGCTGGACAACGAAGAAGACACCAGTTACTTCGACAGTGAGATCCCCTCCATGAGGTGTGGAGCAAATTTCCGTTGTTCAGCTCGGTCTGACCGCTACAATCATGAAGCGGAGTCTTGCGGGGAGGACGACGGCTCCGGCGGCGTTTCTTCCCTGATGTTCCACTCTTTCTCCACGGCCAGTCCTCGTCACTCCATCGCTTCAATAGACCCCAATCAAATGGCTCATGTATGATCTTCCTTCCATTTTTTGAATCAATGAACTTTTGAAGCTTGTGGCTGCGGCGAATGCAGCTGCCAGTGAAAGATCGTCGACGTCTACTGAAAATCGCAAATCTCCGGCCACCGCCCAGTCCAGCGAGGAGCAGTCAAACGACGCCGACTCCAATGAAAAGGAAAAAGATGCGGATTTTGCAGTCCCCATGCCTTCAGTTTGTTTATCTCAGCTGAAAACAATAAAATGGACTTTCAGGCGGTTCACTTGCGTCGACGTTTCTCAGCCCAACGCCAAAGCAACTTGTCGACGTCGTCTTCTGGCACGACAGGCACCGGATCAGGCACCATGTGCTTCCCCAACGCAACTTCTTCCACGGACAGCAGCATAGACGCCTCCCACATGCCTAGTTATCATTTTGCCGTCGGCGATTCCGCGAGGTTTATCAGTGCTTCTCTGCCGCTCACAACGTCTTCTCTTTGAGATCTCCTCTCCCGAGATTTGCGATCTCCTACGAAGGCGCGCCGCTTTCTTCCACGGACGGCAGCATGCACGAAGACTCGACCCAAACCGCCAGCGCCTCTCCTGAGCCGCAGTCTGGCAGAGAAGCCAAGAACGAAGAAATCGTTCGTTTCAGGGTGAGTTTTTTCTTTTTTCTAATGCACTTATTCCCAGAGGAATAATGAAGGGATAACTAGTTTTTTTTTAATCTGGAAGGTAAGATCATTAAAGTATCATAATTTTTTTCAGTTCATATGTATATTTATGAAAGACATTTGTTTACGTATCTTTGTATCTCAAGCGATATAAATAAAGATAAAATCACACTCGAAAAGAAACGGGCACGCAATTGAAGAAGCTACTGATGAACGGCAAGTGACTAATAATTTCAGAAAGGGTTAAAAATAAAGTTTAGATTCGAAAACTTCGTGAAACCATTTTCTCTAAAATTCGTTTGCAGGCACAAGCCCCATCGCCTTTGCAACTGGTGATCCCTTCGCATTCCTCCTCGTCTTCGCAAAAGACCCAGCCGTCTTCCTCAAAAGACACCTGTTATGTCGTGAGTCAACTCGGCTCAGATCTCAACTATCTTCCATTGAAGGTGTGCAAAAGCTCGGCATCTGGCCAGTTGTCGCCTGGAGGCGCCTCTGTTTCGAGTGCTTCTTCGGCGGACATTCCATCACCTCATCACGCTTCGGGCACTTCTCATCAACTGATGACGTCACAGATGGCAGACGCGCAACTCAGCCCCGCTGCTGGATCACCTGTCAGCAAACAAGTTAACATCAGGTTTTATATTTTGTAAGTTTCGTGAAAACCTGCCATTTTTTTTTTCAGAAAAGGTCCTTTTGGATTTGGCTTCACTTTGAAATCTGTTCGCGTTTATCTCGCTGAACACTCGGAGTATTACACCATCGAACATATCGTGACTGCCGTTGTTGAAGGTTTTCTAGAAGCCGACTGTTCCTTGAAGGGTGAGAACTGTTCAGGGAGTCCTGCGTTCGAAGCCGGTCTCCGCTCGGAAGACTTGGTGATGCAGGTCAACGGCCATTCCGTTCACAATCTTACTCACCCACAGCTGATGCATCGGCTTCTCAGCTATGGAAACGAACTCACTTTGAAGGTTCTTTCTTTAATTAGTTTGAGAACATTGAAACATTTTCTCTTCAGGTCACACCTCTCGCTACAACTTCGATCCGTGAAGGCGCAGCCCGCAAAACGGTCGGAAAGTTGGCCAAGAAAAAGCCGAAACGTCCTCAGCGACGAGTTCCCTTGGAGAAAAAACCAAGGTTAGCAAATTAAGCCCAACTTTGATGAGAATGAAATGTTTTTAAGGAAGCCGTCGGCTCTGTTGAGAAGACTAAGCGGCAAAAGGACGACCAACGACATTGTGCCAGGCAGTTCCAGCCAGAAACAAACTTTTATTCCCAGGTTCTCGCTTATTTTTCCCCTCTTCTTGACCGTTCTGCTTGCAGATCAGTTTCGAGCCAAGACGGAAGTATTCTGACTAATATTCCTGGCACGACGACGACGGCGCCTACAGCCCAAGCTTCTGTGAGCGTGACGTCACCGCCGGCTCAAATTGGCGACGCTTCTACGTCTTCTGCTCCCTCGACAGCTTTGCACGGCGGTCATCCGTCGACGTCGCCTCGTTCAAAGCATCCGACGAAGCGAATGTCAGATGTCGGTCTGCAGGACAATCGCTCGCCTCTCGCCGCCATTCCCTTCTCAAGACCAACTTCCGTGAAGACTTCAACGTCTTCTGCGTCGACGGTCGTTTTACCTCCAATAACTTCTACGCCTCCAACCACGATCCTTAAACCAACGCCTTCGATCGCAGTCAGTCCGCTGGCTCGCAACGTCCACGCGGCGCTCCCGTCCACTGTTCCACCTCCAGTCGTCAAGATGAGGTGTGTTACGACATTTTATAGCTTTCAATGCTTCGCTCAATAGTAAGAATTCTTTCTTTCCAAATGGGATTTCCATTGAAGGCCCTTGATCCTTTAGTGAAAAAAAGAAATTTTTTGGGAATTAACACATTGATTTATAAAATTTTTGAATACATCATGTTCATTTACCGAATTTTCAATACTAGTAGTATTTTGAGTTGAGAAATTTCTCTTTTCAGTTTATTTTTTCCTAAATGAACTTATATGACATTGCAAACATGTTGAGAATTTTTTCCAAATTCTCAACATGTTTGCAATGTCATATTCTGCGGCCAGAGAAAAGTCCGAGTACACCTTGTGCTTTTCGAGGATTGAACACAGTTCAAATTTCAACGGTTTGCAGGTCCTCGTCGAACTCAGAAGTGCCGGACAGGTCTCCGCCGCCGCCGCGACCGCCCCCGGTGTCTCAGTCGGCCTTGCAGACGGCTCAGCGGACGGCGTCGGCCCCTCAGGCCTCTACCACACTTTCCGCCGCTCAGTCGCTTCTCAACCGTTTTTTGCCGCGACACGACGACCGCAAATAACATTTTCCTTTTACCCACCACGTGTATAATAATCTCAACAACTTCATGTTTACCATTTTCGCCAAATCCAGGCGCTACCTATTCTGATCCAACAAATCTAGTCCAGTCTTAAATAATCTGGTTCAACATCTAAGAAAAATTTGGTTGTAAACAACGTTTTAAAACATCTTGTAATGAAAAGCTTGAAGTGAGTAAAATTTGGACTCTGTTGGTTATCGTCACCCATTCTAATTTATCTTGAGCCGTGTTTTATTTCCGGGAAATCCTAATTTTTTTATTTTTCAAACCCCGTATTCGACTACAGGTACTTTTTCACCCTGTTCAATCTTGTAATATATCATCTTCTGAACGTGAAGCATTTTTATCCCTCCTTCTCCTCTTCATAATATTTTTTGTACATTCTTCGATTCATACATAATTTTCCTCCTTTTTTGAGACGAAAGATTGAATGCTCGACCTTTAATTAATTTTTCATAAGTTCCCTAAAATGACTGGAGCAATTTTGTTTGAAAAACGGCCTCTCCGAAAAAGCTATTTATCCAACTTCGGGTTGAACTTTTTCGTTAACAACCACATTATCAATGTGCTACATGTTTTTTTCAATCAAGAAAATTAAATCTTTCCTACTCCTTTTGATTCATGCCAAATAACTTTATGTGTACAAGAATAACATCAGACAGGAAAAAGAAATTACAGGTTTCAAGAATTCAAAATAAAGCCGTGGTTTGGTCAAAACTATTTTCAATTTGATCAGGTGCACCCGGTAGATGTTCAGTAAAGAGGAATGACATCTAAACAAAATTTTTTTGTGAAGAAAAAAATAAATATATGTATCAATCGACATCGAAAACTCTGAAATTGCTTATGAGACGTTTTGAGTTGATTCAGAGTCGCAAAAGTCTATTCTACTCTAAAAGACAAGAAATCGAAAAACTTGTGAGAAAATAATCGTTAGTTGTTGAGATGAATGATAAATATATGTTTGCTTACAATAAGGTAGAATCAAGAAGCGAGTAAAGTCGTTCAAGATACTCTCAAATTTTCTATGTTCTAAATAGTGAAACAATCAAAAAGAAAAGATATTCGGAGAAGAAAACAGTTAGGGAACCATGAAGTCAGTTTGTTTCTGAGAAGATTGGAGTAGCTCCGGCGTTTCGGCACATGAGCTGAACCCGAGTCACGAAGTCATCGCGTTTGGCGAGGCCGACGAACTGAAGAGGTTTCCGATGGCCATCTACCGTCACTTCCAGGCTTTTCCGTGTGCCCGTGATCAACGACAACGAACGCACAGACTGCGTCTCCAAATCAAAAATTTTTTTCGACTTCAATAATGATGATGAAATAACTTTTTGTGAAAAAAATTTGAATTTTCGGAATCCCTGTGAGAATAAATTTTGCAGCTTAACGCAAACAGCCTGGAAAAACTTTTTTTGGGATTTTTTTCCGGTTATTGTAGTGTCGAATGTTCACTAAAAAAACTTGCAGTTAAGTATATTTATTCAATTAAACTCAATAGAAAGAGCGCCGGAAAACTCTTCATGCGATTTGCTACAATCGAAAGTTCTACTTTTTCAAGGACAGAATCTGTTTATTAAAAATAGTTATTCATATACTGCTCAGAAGAGCAGGCCACAGTTGGACTCCAAAAATGGGTTCCGACGCGGTCATCAACCGTGAATACGGCGCTTCACGCTCGCGGCCCGCCCGTCTCCCTTTCATCGCAGTTGGCGTGTGTGCCATTTTGATGGGGATTGCGAGATACATACTGCAGAAATGATTCTGTATAGTATGGTCTCGAAGAAGCAACCGGCCGCTTACGACTACACACTAGGGCGCCCCCGACTCCGCGCGACTTGCGTGTCGTTGTATCCCTCACCACTCTCCCCTCTCCCACTAGCACCCGCCGCGTTTCGCAACTTTCTTTTTCTCTCGCAAACGTCAAAAAAGCGTAAAGAACCTGCTGAAGGCAATTTATACTTCAAAAGTTGACTGCAAAGAAATTTTCGATGTTTTAGATTTTTGTTAACACTTCAGCATAGGATTTATCAAATTAAGCTTTTTTCTCATAGCTCTCATTTTATCTGAATTACAAAACTGCAAGGCAAGAATTATCCTCTGTTTCAAGTTTGCCATTCAGCTCTTTCTGAATAAAAAAAAACCTTTTTGATGGTGGTGATGTCGTGAAAAAGCATCATTGTCGGCTCTTTCTGCTCTGAAGGACCTCTCGGTCGGAAAATAAGCGCTCTGTAATGATGAGAGTTGAAAATTTCTTGGGGAAATCTCAAACTCACGCATCTGTCAGGTAAAGAATACCTGAAGTTATGCCTTTAGGGAAGATTTTCTCACGCTCGTTCATCACGCAACTTCGGACTGAATATTTGAAAATAGAATTCATGTTGAAAAATTGAAAAAAAAAGAGGTAAAGACGTCACATTCTTTTCGCAAAGGGAAATAAGCAATGCAGTATTTTTTTTCTCGTTATTTTCCAGAGAAAAAAGCGAGCCTCGATTATTTTAAACTATTAAGTTGAAAAAAATAAAAATTATTGAAACGCGGCAAGTTTCCAAAAAAATTCAGAAAAAGTTTTTTTCTGGGGGTGAAACTTAATAACCTGAGGAGTTCTAGTTTTATCCGAAAATGTTCATGTTTTCTTTCCGAAAAAGCTTTTTACTTACTGAGTTTGTACCTTTGACCCTTTTTATTTTTAAAAAGACGTGAGATTATTTACGTGTGACGAAATCTTTTTTTTCACAGAATTTCACAGAAAAAAAATTCTTTTGCGAAAAATTTCAAGTGGACTAAACTTATGTGAAAATCTTCAATGCATAATCAACAGCATTCTTTTTCACAAAACAAGTAGATATAAATGATTGGCTTCCAAGACCATTTCAAGAGAACCGCCTGCTCCTTCAATGAGCCTCTCAAGCGAAAAGTTGATTCTTGGAAACGAACAGGCAATGACGCTGTCGATGATCGGGTCGTCGTCGATGCTGGAGTCGTCGTGGAACTCTTCTTCGTGGGAGAACTCCGAACGCGCCGATTCTGGCAGACCGAAATCCGAACGGCTGGGCTCTTCTGTCGATGATTGTCGTGATCGCGCGTCGAGGAACACTGAAGCGGCCTCTTGGGCGAGTTCCGTCGTCGGAACCGAGTGCGTCGTCGCCACCTTCAGAATTATCAAAGTAACATTCTGAGCAAGGGCAATCTACCTTGTTATGGCCCAGAAGCAGGTTGGCGGCGGAGCCTTGGTCGAGGTTGAAGTTGCTGCCGAGTCGCGACTCGAAGGTCTCTCCGGCCACTGTCGAACGTCTTCCTGTCGAACAGGGCGTCTGCTGGAAAAATTCACTCTTCTTTTCAGAGACTTGAGACTAACACTGCGCTCTTCACTGTCTGCTCTCTGTTGATAGTGAGGACGAACCGAACTATTAGGCGATCTGAAAATTTTCCTAAACTGAAATTCATTCTCTCTTTCTCTACTTCAAGGGGAGGTTGCGGTAGAAGTAGCCCCAGGTGTCGAGTCGGTACCGTAGCTTGGGGAAACGGCTGAACAGATAGGTAGTCAGGAAAATGCGCACCCCAAGTGTCAGAGCTGGAAGGACCTTTTTTGAAGAATGGTCAGATCAACTGACCACACATTCCGAGGCAGGTGCCAGTGTCGAAGAAGATGGAAAGGAACAGCCAGTAGATGATCAGAAACAGAAAATGCTTCGTCACACCCTCGTCTTTCCAGGTAAAAAGGCTGGAAAAACTATATTACTTGATTTGGTTCTAATCTGAAACCTGTGGAGTTTCTCGAGAACGTCAGCTGCAAATCCAACCAAGTTTTGAACCATTTTGGCGACTTCGAAGATTAGCTGCGCACCAGAAATATCGAATCCTGGTAGCGGAACTTCCTTGCGAGGCAGAAACATCAGGCCGATCTCGATGTTTCTGAACGAGAGTTCATTTTACAGGCTTATCAGAGAGAAAAAAACTTCCGAGCGCTAAGATAATTGAGCGAGAGCTGCAACAGCGTGAGAAGCAGTACCAAGATGACTGTCCAACCTCGGAACACCGAGTAGGCGTATACCTTGAATTATTGAATCAAAAACCGAATTTCTTCTACGAGTTCTGTGTATAGTTTTCACTCTTCTGTGGTTGCTCTCATTTCGAGGCTTCCGCCTAGAGCGCCCTCTTTTGGCTCCAGCTACAACTTCCGCTTCATCCTGAGCTCGTCAACACGCAACTGAATGAAATTCGCGCAGAAGAACGAGGTGAGGGACCATGAGACCATGCTTTTCATTTGATCAACTACTGCACCTCGCCCGTTGTTCGATATGGCTTTTGAAGTTCTTTTTCATTGCTCACTGGTCAGTCGATTACATAAGTGACGAAAGAAAAAAATCGCTGATTGATTGAGATTGAGAGCGCAAGAAATCATTCGGCACGGTTTTCGCCAATAAGTATACACATTTTCACTTATAAACTGTTCTCAGATCCTATTTTCATAATGAACATGAAAAAGACCAAAGTCAGAAGAAGCGTCGAGATGGGGTTCTTCCACATGATCAAGTCATACAGAGCCGCCAGAACTTCAATGAAAGGATGGAGGGCTGTGCCTGCAATCAGAAACTTTTTCAACCGGAATGCTCAAAGAGAGGCTCACAAAATCGCTTGAGATCTTTCTTTAGCTGCACGGCCGACAACTTGCCACGGTTCTGGAAATCTCCAGGGTTGAAAATAAATTTGAAATCATTTCAACCTGGAAGAAGAATTGTTGCTCGGTGTTAGGCGTGGATTCGAAGGCGTCAACGATGTCGTCGACGAAGAACTTGGCCTCCGTTTTCAGCCGCTTCCATTTCGCTCTGACCACTGGTTCATGCTGGTCTGAATAGGTCAAGGTAACATCAGAGAATTGTATTATGGCTTTTTCCAACTGGAAAAAAAAGAGAAAGGAAAAAATTCTCAAGATTTTGATTGCCGTTGTACTATTACATTGAAGACACAATGTGCAGGCCTATTCAAACTTTTTTTTTCAAAGCGAACCGGTGATATCTTCGTTAGAAGAGACGGAGGTGCTCTCGTCGTTGCGCCACTTTGGCGTAGGCTGCTGAACGACGAGCGGCCGCGGACTGCCTACCCGCGGCGTGTGGCCTCGCATCCTGAAACGTCGGATAGACTTCAACTCTCTCTCAATTCCAACAGATCTACTTTCGAGCTTCTCAGAAATAAAGATTGATGAAAAACGCAATGTCGAAAATTAGTGAGCTTTTTCAAGCAGTTTGAAGTATTTATGAGTCATCGCGACCCGGAAGAAGACTGATCACTTGAAATTATTCAGAGGAAAATGAATTTTTTTTCTTTTTTCCAACACATAGATCCCTAACGTACACACTTTCAGAGACTATTTTTGAATTCAAACGTCCCAGAAAAATTCCCAGACTATCAAAAAAGGCATTTGTGAGAAAAAAAAATTGAATGACTTGAAGGACAGTTGCACAAGGGAATGTACTCACTTTTTAAATCATGGACTGATTCAACTTTCTCGGTTCAAATAGGGTTGGAGGCCAAAATTTGGACTTTTTAGGAGCAAAAAAAAATGTGAGACTTTCAATTGTCGGAAAAAAATTCAAGTCACTTCAAGAAGCTTTGTCAGTATTTCGGGACTAGCCAAATGAGGAAACTTGGCTTTTGTTCTCATAGTTTTTATCGTTGCTTCAGACTGTTAAATGGTTGTAAAAATCCCTACTCCTCCCTTTCTCACAGATACCGCTTCATTCGAAAAAAAAAAAAGGGGAACAGCTGTAGCTGACGTGAAAAGAAAAATGTTTTTCCTGTTATCATTTCAACTGTCACCGTATTAATCGCACTTTTCTGGACACGTAGAAAAAGAGAAAAACAAAAAGTGCAAACGAATGACCATATCAGATCTGATTTTTGAATGAATATAAAAAAATTCGATTTTTTTCGTCGCCTGAGCTGCTTTTTCTATTTTTTTCTAGTTTTGAAAAATTTGAAAAATGTATTGCCATCGAGGAGTTGCAGTGCACTTTTTTTCCTTTATTGAACTATTTTTTTGAGCTTTTTCATAAAAGCAATCTCTCGTCAACTTTTTTTGTACTAGCGTTGCACTTACCTTTAATTGATATTTCATCGTTTTTTTAAATATAAAAATCACGCGGTTCCTCACTTTCCACAGAAACCAACAAAAAGTCCAAGACCCTCATGGCTTTCCTCAGTGCGAAAGGTCAATCTTTGCATTATTAAAATGGCCGTTTCATTCATGCGTGAAAATAAACGAGCCGCTAAAGAAGAAACTCACAGTTTATGACGTGCCTCCGGACTTTCTTCCCCTCGTTCGATGTCAGCCAAAGCCAAGACTGCAAAATATTAAGCTTTGAATTGAAATTACCAGAAATTAACTATGTGAAAATAATTATCCTTTTTTGCTAGGCTTAAGGCTATGTAAGAAAAACACATTTAAAATTCTGCAAAGCTTTCGAGGAATGTGAATCTCTAGAAATGGAGATAAGTAGAAAAGGTGAACAAAAATAAGGTCCGACAGCTCAAAAAACGATAATTAATTGATAATTCAAGATTAGAAGAATGAAAGTCTGAGCAGCTATGACTTACCATGAATTACTCAAAACCATCCCTTCCGCTAAACTTTTCAGATTGCAGATGAGAAAAATTTTGTTGAAAAAAAAAAGAGAAAGAGAAAGATAAAGCTGACGATGAATTCTACGGATCGTCTGACAAAAACAGATTGTTCCAACAAAACATTCGAACCGAGGAAACGACAAAAGCGAGTTCCTGATTGCGTAATCGGCAGATCGCCAGTTCATTTTTGGACATTCCTACGTTTGGGATATCATGCCGTGACTATTTGAGGTGATATGGGCATTTCAACAAAAACGGAGAGCCTTCATCAGCTCTCTATCTCTCAAATGGAAAAAAAACTATTGTTATCTGTTGAAGAGGTGTTAGACTCGTTGAGAGAGGATCGTAAAATTCGAATTTGAAAATATATAAGTTGAGGACCGGTTTTCGAAGAAATTTGTTGGAAGGGTTCCAAATGCGAACTTCCAGGAGAAAAAGAAAAGTCCTGATTTTCCGGAATATGTTCAAATATAAACATCTACGCACTTCATTGCTATCGGAAATTCGCTAAATCCAGTCTAAAAACGCAAGAAATGGGAAAAATCTTAGAGATAAGAGATAAAAGCGAATAGAAACGTCTGCACCATATGACGGCGTCAATCAGAAGAAAAAAAATCGAATGAAAAAACGTCGTTCAACTAATAAACATCTGAAACCGTTATAGAAACGCATGCAAAAGAATGTATTCTCGACAAAAAAAAAATTCCCACTTTTAAGAACGACTCGATGTTTCCAAAACAGAAACTGTTCCCTTCACTTTCAAATGCTAATTGGTCAAGTTTTTTTGTCTGAAAGAAAATATGGAAAAGAGAATGAGCCTCTCAAGAAAAAACTGAAGTTTCAGAAAAAGAGCAGAAAAGGGATATAAATCAGATGGTGTCCAAGATTTCGAAGCTCCTTGGCAACAAGAAAAAAACTTTCTTTTTTTGCAGAGAATATTTCATTTTCCTGAGTGCTAAATGACTCACACAGCCAGAGAAGAAAATTCGAATTTGAAGAAAAAAAACTAGTCAAAATTATTTTTTTCACCGTTTAAAATTTCAAAACTCAGAAACATACCAAATTCTTCTTCAATACCCTCCATGTAACCAGAGAATAGCGAAGCACTAGCCGTGCGTCTCAACATTGAAAAAGTGAGTAAGCTTTTTGGCATTTAAAATTAAAGATCTGTCAAGCATAACTAAAAGTCTTATCAGGCGTGAAGTGAAAACATCTTTGTTCCTTACCTTCACCTAGGCAACAGAACAGCAAAAATTTTCTCAAACTCAAAAATAAGACTGAAAACCTGTTAAAACTATTTTATTCGTCAAAAAAAAGAGAAAAAAAAGTTGAGGAAAAAAAAACCTCGTAAACCCTGGAATGAGGATCCGTAGTTCATCTTACACAGTCAGCAACGAGAATAAATGAAAAATCTTCTGCAAAAATCGAACCACTGATTTTTGTTGTTATTTGCCATTTATTCCATTGCGAAAGCCGTGATGTCAACATTTCAAACTGGCGCAAGTGGCCACTCTGGGCACTTTGTCTACGTCAAAACAAAAAACTCTTCTTGAAGCTTCTACAGGAGAACAGTCTCTCCCACAGTTTTGAAAACCTTCGTGTAATTGTTTTTCCTATTCAACAGTTTGATAAAAAATTTCGCCACGTTAATCGTCAAACTCAACAAGGAAGTCTATTGAAAATCCAATAAGCGGTAAGATTAATCATGAAACGTGGAAATGAATGGCTTCAATATTAGGATTCCTATGGAGGTGACGCCGTAGATGCGGAGGAGAAATCGAAGAAAACCGAGTGAGAAGTAGAACGATTTCGAACTGGAAAAGATGCATTCTTACAAAAAAGCTGAGAGAAAGAACAAAGAGGTAGTTGAAAGGGCTGAGAATTGTAGGCGATAAGATCTGCCATCTCGTGGAAATTTCAAAAAAATTTCCTGCGAGGGCAATCGGAAAGTGAGAGTCGCGTGTTCTGAAGGCCTGTGCAGCCGAAAAGACTTCACGACCTTCTACAGAGTGACCCTCGTTGCCATTGTTCCCTCCGCTGATCAGCCATGTTTGTCCCCAAATGCTGTGACCTCGTTCCAACTGTGAGAAGCGTTGAAAAATGCGTCATTTTGTGAATTCAGGTGAGAAATTTGTCATAGATATAGAACAGCGGGGGCATGAGGATACTGAAAAAAAGAAAGAAACTTGAGTTAGAAAGCGTCAGCATGAAATAAAACGAAATAATTGAATCCAATGGCAAATTCGGAGCTGGCAGTACACAGCAAGAAGTCAAACAGAAAAGATCGATTCAGAGATCAAAAAAAGATATTCCGTCGGTTTATTGCATTTCAACCTCTCTAATTTCTTCAATTAATCATTCAAATTCAATTTTCTTTTTCAATTTCAACTTCGAAATTGTAAATTTTTCTCAATTTCTTACAAAAATGTTTCCGAAAGTAACCTACCAATCTCGTAGTTTTTCTTGAGGACTTCGAGCAAGTGGAAATCAAGCAGAGTGGGCACGATCCCAAGCTGCTTGGGCCGCGTCTGTTGTTCATGTGAAGGGCCACGATTTTTGACTCTCATCCGGTTTGAAAGAAACTCGCCGGCGCTGAGACATCCATCGCTGCTCCTGAAACCAAACTTCGATTCTTACTCGTTTGAAAACACAAAAACCTCCGTTCTCTGTTATTATGCGATGTTTCGCCATTGGGGACATTGAGGAAGAAGTCGGGCATCTGTGGCGACGGAGCAAAAATCACTCAAAATCTCAATGAATTTTTTCTGCAAATGAGGCACGCGATTTTTTTTTTTCATAACTCTGAATGAGGGCTCCTTCAGCGTGGGAACATACACTCATATTGAGCTGAATATTGAATAAGACGTTAATGTTTTGTAGTTAAAACTTATTCGGAACAACAGAGAAAAGAGAAACCAAAAAAATAATCAGACTAGCAGGACAGGAAAAAAAGAAAACTGATTAAACTAAAATGGATATTAAGGGGAGGATTTGGAATAGTGACGAGATGACCTGAAAACACGAAGCTAATCCACGCTCGAAAAACACTTCTCCATTGGAAAATGGAAAGAAAAACGGAAAAGAATGGTCCTCTAGCTAAAAAAAAAAGAAGAAAAAAATTCTAACCTATTTAAAATGCTTCAGAAGAGTTAAACGTTTACCGATCCAAAATATTGAAAAACAGAACGGTCACTCAAATGAGAAACGGACACCAAAGTGAAACGGAGAGCAGAAAACGAAAAATAGACGACGGAAACACGTCTTCACAAATGATTTCTGCCCATCTTGTTTTTCAGATGAACAATTCTTCTAATTAATCGTTTACTATTAATTATTCCCCTCATAGCAGATTTTCCCAAGGCTGACGATCCGTAAATTGAGATTTAGAGAAAGTTGTCATAGTTTTTTTTTTGAAAATAAAACTTCGTCTATTTCTGTCTTTTACAAATGCTCGAAAAAATAATCAGGGAATTTGAGGCCTTCCGGTGTTGATGGCGTTCTTATATTTTTAATCCAAAGGCGCATTTTCTTTTTTTCTTTTTTTGATTTTTGAACGAAAACGTCGGAAAAGGAAGCGGTACGGCAATACTTTATGCTATTCACATGAAAAAGAACATCGTGCAATTAAATCGACTTGTAATTACCAAACTATTTTAACAGGAAAGCGATTGGAGCTGTTGAAGGATCGTGTCGAAGAGCTTGCGGGTGTCGCTGCGGTTTCGGATGAAGAAAACCTGGCTTCGCCGCTCGAACTCCATCATCCTGAGGGACTTGATGACGCGAAAAGAAAGAAACGAAGCAGTTCAATGGTGAAAGAAAGTGGTTTTTCTCATCTTTCAAAGGGAAGTGCATAGATTTTTAGACAACCTAGGGAAAAATTATCCCTGTAAAAAATCCTTTCTTTTTGGGTGAAACTCTTGCCAAATACTAAGAGTGCAAATTTGAGGGGTTTGGGTTTAATTCAAACAGTTTTTCAAAAATAAAAAAGTAGAAAAATAGAAAATTTTTCTTGCATTTTGAAAACGTCTGATACGTTGACCTTTGAAGAAAAATCGATGAATTGAATAGGGTTTAACTGAAAAAAAAATTCAAAACCATGGTAATCTACCCATTTTACTCTCATTCAATTGCCATCTCTCCGTCTCCCTTTTCCAATAAATAATATTCAAGTAACTGAAGAACCAACTTTTCGAGTACAATATGCCCTGCTTTAGGGTTCACTCTGTTGTATTTGACCGTTTGGCGACCATATTCGGCCAGGTAGGTGGTCCAGTCAGCGCAAATGACAAGGTCTAATAGTTGTCTGGAAAAAAATTGCTGAATTTTTTAGAAATTATCGAAATCATTTCTGGAAAAACTTTATACGAAACTCAAGAACAGCACGCATTTCAAGGACCCGCAATTCGGGTCAAAAAAGTAAACTTACACTGTTTTCACAAAAGAAAAAAAATTACAACTCCGAAACTCTCTGAATATTCGTTATGGAAACTTTCGAGATACTAGATGAAGACTATTGAAATCGCAGATTTTATTTCGAAGTCTAGTTCTTTTTTTGAGTGTAGAGTTTAAAAAAGGGATATTCTAGACGTAAGTTCTCAAAAAAATGAAAAAGTGTGTATCGTGCATTTTTCTAGAATTATTTCTGATTAGTTTTCAAAGAATCGAAAAATATGGAGCTCGTCCGTTTTTTGACGCTCTCGGTCTAACTCAGAACACACCTGAGATGTGCGAAGGCGACCGCCAAAGTCTCGTGGTCGAAATCGGAGACAGGACATCGGGCTGCGAAAGTCTCGCACTGCATCACGTCGAGGTTGAACTGTTCTAGAGCGCCCCGGGACAAGAACTTCGTCTCGGAAGAGAGCAGAAGCTCGGACAGCCGTGTCGACAGGTGCTTGCAAGTCTGTCAGGAGTTGACTTCAGTAGAAAACATGGCATTAATACTTTTCCATGACAAAACTTTCGAATACGACGGAAATATCGAAATGAACTCAATCAATGATTCGAAAATAATATCCCTAAATGTTCTTCATTCGTAAGAATATTATTTTAGAAACAACTTTCCCAAATCTCAAAACTTTTTCTAGTATCTCGCTCACTTTCTCATGTTTTTGACTGATATTTGTTTGGTACACCTTGCACTTTTTTTGTTATTGGGTAGCGCAGAAAAATTTCTAACATTAGAGATTACACTCTCTTCCTATATTCCCAGTAAAAACATAAACTTTCGCAGAAATTTTAGATAATGATATAAAAAAAGCATTTTCTCACTTTTTTTGAGGTTTGTGAATGCTGAATTCGCATCTAGCGCTTACTAGAAACCCATTCTCTGAGATAATCGAGTAAATTATTGGCGCCATGCTGCGATTTCAAAAGATATTTACGTAATTTCCACAAAATAGATATACCTGCATGCAAATGTGCTTGATGAACTGCTCGGACATATCTCTGAAGGAGATGAGAGACGCGTGCAGGAAGTTTATCAGGTCAGAGATGAAGACGGAAGCTCGGCCCGAAGATTCGGACAGGTCCCAGCGGTAGTCGGCGAGCTCCATGAACTCGTCCACCTTATGGCACATGAACTCTTCGATCCTTTGCTCTATCTGAACCCGTTTTCTAAAGAATCTGACACAACTAGTTCCAAACGTCTACTACGAGACCACGGAAAGCCTTCTGTGAGAGTACGACATGATGTTCTGGAGAGTTTTCTCTGATCAACGCTTTCGTGATGAATTCCCCCAGATGTTCACAGCAGTCTTCGAGGTATCGAACGTTAGTTGCAGTTTGGGTCAACTCAAAGACACGCGAAATTATCCTTGACGGTGTCAAATATTACCTGGGGAAGGGTGACACAGTGCTTCAAAAAGATTTCCAACATTTCCACCCACTTCGATACGAGATCGTTGGCACAACTGGAAAGATTCTGAATTGAAAGACAAAAATCGAGTCTTCAAACCGAGCAGCGACGCTTTCTGTTTCCAGCGAAGTCAATCGCAAATCCTCCATAAATTGCAGACTTGCTATGATATAGTGTTTGGCGTTCGAATAAACAGTCACGACAAACCGAGAAAAAGGCAACGTTTTGGGGAAAGCATTCTGAAGGCAAAATAGAGTTCTATAAAGAAGAATCTTCGTGGATGGAATCAGAGCTGTGCACGGGGTGAGGGTGATGGCCGAATCGACACACAATCGCCGCAATCGCGAACTTTTTTATTTCATTTCATAACTCACACCGCATGATTTTTCTAATAACACACTTTCGATCACTCACTTCCCCATTTACACACTCTGTGAAAACTTCGAGACACAAAGGTTCGAAAAGCGGCAAATTTTCTACCGCGTTGCAACACTATGGCCATTCCGGCAGACCCAGAGCGCAGCTCTGGAGGAAACTCTTTCATGGGTCTCGCCTTTTTTCACAAAAGTTATCTGAGTTTTATATTGAACGGACTATTATTGACACCTCATTTCTCTCTTTTTTGAAGATGGGCATCTCAGCAACAATGCTCTCGTATTCCTCTTCATAAACGAGCAAAGGCGCGAAATTGTCTCTTCCCAGTTCAACTTCGAAGTTTTTGCAGCAATCTGCCAACAACAAACCCACATAGGCGTCTCTGCAAGGACACAGTTCAAGAAGGCAAGAAACAAATGGACGACCTGAATTTTCGCAGCAAATTGTAAAGTGCTGAAACGGAATAACCGTAAGATTGCATGGTGAAGGCAAATAATTGTATCAACTTCTTCATTCTCATCATAGTCTCCACGTCACTTTTCATCTGGGGATCAGAGACAAATTTCAAGAAAATCCGAATGAAACTCACAAACTCAGCGAGGAAATTTCGTTCACTACTACAAAGCGCAATTTCCCACAACTGATCTTTGAACTCGTTGGAGGACTGGAAAATCAGAAAAAATGCCCAGAGTTCAATGGAATGGACATACCAATCCGATATTGGTCGTGAGGACCGCATCTTCGATTACGAAGAAGCCGACAACTTCGTTCACGTAACCGATTTGGCTGCCGAAGGAATCAACCTAGAAACTTCGAAGAACTTCAAATATTTAGGGCAAAAAACCTTATTGAAACCCTGTACTAGGACACGACATTGTTCCATTCGTTGCATAGTGTAGTACTTGTCGAACTCGGCTTTTGTGTCCAGTAGAGTGAAAATTTGGTAGCTCCTGAGCTGATTAAAGTCGAACCAAGAGATAATCTTGTCGAAACCTATAAAGAGGGGCGAAGTCAATCAAATCCTGAGCTGAAAGAAAAGCCTCGTTCTGTAAACATTGCACTTCTTTGTTTTCAACAATTTCTTTCTACTTCCTCTGTTTCGACGCGATTTGGAGTAGCGCAGCTCCTTTTTATAATTCTACCGTCACTGGATATCGAAAACTCGATGATGGCCGAACCACTGAAGGAATGGAAACCGTGACAAGCATTCAGACTCAAACACCTGATGGACTCTCTCAATCTGCTCATCAAATTGTCTCCCAAATGCTTCATCATGTTTTCCTCCGTCGCCTCAATTTAGAAATATTATCCCAAGATTCTACGGAGAACTAACACATTGATGATTCGCCAAGACTCCTACCCTCCCTGCTACTTTTTTTACGCTCTCCAGAAAGTCTTTGAATTCCGAATAAGCCTGAAGTTTTCCCTCAATTTTAAATTTCCTGGGAAACTTAGAGATAGGAAATGTTATACCCACCTCCAGTTTGATTTTCTGACGCATCAGGGGAAAAGAACTCGATATACCCTGGGAGAAACGGTATCTCTCTATCAAAGGCAAGTAGGAATTTTCCAAGGATTCCAAAACTCTCAGCGCTTGATAGTACCTGAACGAATCTTTGACATTCAAAACCTTTTCTATGAAACTTTCTATTTTCGAGAAGATCCAGCAGTCGTCCGTATTTGACTAATACTGGAATGCACTCCGACATCTTTCCTATTGCTGTGAAAGCATTCTTGATTGTTCTTCTGAAAAAGAGTAAATGACGGGGGAATGATGGAAAGGAAACAACCTGTAACGTAGGATTTCTTCAACTTTCCGAGACACCCGAAGACTTTCAGTTTTAATATCGACATCGATGCGAGAACAAACATCCTGACAATAATTGCCAAAAGTGAACAATATCTTAATAAAATACCCTTATTTCTCGGTACTCGCTCTGTAACTCGATTACTTCCTGGACAGACGAAGAAAAGTTATCAAAATGCTGAACCGACGTCTGAAGAACTAAAGTTATGAGAAAGTCGTTAATAAAGTGCTTTTTCATAAAAGTATCGAGTTTCTTATGATCTCTTAGACTGCAGCAAATCCGTAAATTAAAAAATGACTGAAAATAAATGATCAACCGTGCGAATTTCCTTGTCATAGTCATCGCATCTACGTTGCAAGGCTCGAAAGAAGCTTTTAGATTCGCCACTGTTGTAAATTCCCCTGAACAGTCTTTTAATTTCGATATGAACTCAAAAAATCAAAGCCAACCCTAAGATTGATCCAACACTATTCGAATCGCTTTTTTCAACAAGATTCAACAGATAATTCATCTCCGTATCAGCTTCCTCAACTAAATAGAACTTATTAGTTTTGTCCAACATCAAAAAACTTACTTTTCGCAAAGGTTTCATCGAACTGGCTAGACTCGGCAATTATTAAATTTCTATCTTTCATTATTATTACTAATACAAAAACTGTATAATGTAAATTTATGTGAAGTTAGTTCTCACTACTCAGGATCCTGATCTGAAAGACAATTACTGAATATTTCAAATTTTTATGTAGTTCGATATAATGATCTAGTTTCTATTCATAAATTCAGTTTTTTATATCCCTAATCGGAGCTTTTCTCAGTCAAAAATTGAATAACTTTGTACGAAATTGTAAAAAAAATAATTTTTGAAATAACCTCTTCAAATCGGAGGCCAATAAAAAAACATCAAAAAAAAAAAATCAAGTTGTGCTCATACGCTCTAACGAAATCTGACCACGTCCCTAAGGGGCTTTCTTTTGCCAAAAAAAAGCTTTTTTATGCCGTGTTCAAAGTAATTTCCGCGAAATGCAAAATGGTCTCTGACCCTCCAAAATTTAGTTATCTTTCTCTTTCTCTGACGGCTATTTTGAATTTCGCGGAATCACTTTGAACACGGCATTAATTTTTTTTTTCTTGCTCTCAGTTTATTTCTTTTTTCGCAAATACTCCATTCTTTTTGACAGATGTTTTTGATCTAGAACTTGAAATGCTTGGCAAGACTCACTCGGGTTTCATCTTTTTTCCGCTTCTTTTCGAATATACCTAAAAATAATCAGAGCAACATGAACATCGGTATTATCATACACTTTTTTTCATTTTTTTTTCTCCTATTTCTGCATGCATTCATTCCTTAGATGTTATATTCTGTTGTGAATTATTTGATCAAAGATTGGAGGAAAAGTTCTTTATTACGAGAAAAGTATAATGGGAAACGTTGCTTCAGTTCATTGAGTGATCACGAGAAACGGTAATTAAAAAAAAATGAACCCGATAAATAATGAGCACGGTAAAAGTGTTAGTGGTTAAGAGCATGCGGAAAAGTCACTGTTAGGCTGTGTTTCAAGAAAATTTTACTCGTCCGTCGATATGAAGAAAATCATATAAAAACAATAAAGATACGCGTAATTTAGCGCCAGTCAAATTAAAGGAAGAAGTCATAAGAAAGAGTCATTTTTGGGTCAATAGAAAAAGTCGGAATAACATAGAGAAAGAAGTTTAACCCGTCTGAGTAATACTAATAAAATATGGGATATGAAAATGGAAATTAGCAAAAGCATTTTCCTTAAGAATTGATCTCGACAACTACGCTTTGAACACGCGCTTGTGTAGAAGTAGTGGTTTGTATCGTAGTTTCTGTAGTTTTAGGCTCCGACTGTTTTACCTGTAATTAGAGGTGTTAATTTTTTGTTAAAATGCAGTTCAGAACTAGCAAAAACCTCGTATTTTGGGGGATAGAGGTACTGGATGCCGAGAGGCTGAACAGTTGATGACGAAGAAGTCTGGTTAGTGTTCTGAAATGGACGGCGGTGTGCGGCAGGGCGACAGTTCGATGGAGTCGTCCTCAGAGGAGTCACCAGCAGGTCTTTTCCGATGTCAGCATACGTTGGTGGAGGGGCATCCACCGACGTCACTGCTGGAACCCTTTTTTTGTCTAACAAAACTCTTTTTTTTTCATTTGGTTTTTCAAGAGGGAAGTTTTGCTAACGAGATTCACCACCAAGTTAATTTTAGTTTTGTCAAGAAGGTAAAGATAGTTCAATTTTTTTTAGGAGCTTTTCTTTCGTTTTTGTTCCAAAGGATCTAAGTACAAAGTTTGAAACTATGTAGAATATCTTAGGGAATTCATATTTTATTGCCCTGTTGGACCGTTTTTATCAGTTTTTCCAGTGGTCGTTTTTTGATCTTGTTCAAAAGACGTTGACTCCGTTATCGCGAAATCATAGATAATAGTTTGGGGATCCCCCCTGAACCCACTATTGGAATCTGTTATCAAAAAAATCGACGTTTATGGCTATTTTTTTCTTAGTTGATTTTTTTAAAAATCGAAATCTTCTAGCAAAGATCTCTTCAACCTATGAAACTAATTCATAATCAGAGAGAAACTACAAGTTTCAATAATATTTTCTTTGAAATTGATATGTTGGGAACAGGCTTGGTTAAGATGTAACTATTTACAGGGGACCGAGAGGTTTTTAGTTGGTAATTTTTTCTAAAAGATGTTGCTGAAGTCTAAATTTGGTTTTGCAAAACCAGATAATGAGCGGGAAAAAAACCATGGAAAACATACCGATTTCATATTTTGGTGGTGGAGGAAGCTGTCGAAGAATGGAGGATATTTGTGAAGCGGCCTGCACTCGGTGCGTCACGGGAAGCCCTGTAATCAAATTTAAACTTTTTCTTTTCTTTTCAATATTTTTATTGGAGCCGTTTCTTTCCAGCTTCTTCTCTATTATAACCTATTTCTCAAATAAGAAAGACTTACCACAGAAGTTGGCTCTTCGCTCGTAGCTCCGTACAACGAGGCAAATGACGCAGACACATAAGAATATGATGAAGATGATCGGGCACGACGCCACTAGAATCACTTCCCAGAGCTCCGTTTCCGAAGTCGACGTTGAATCTGAAGGTTTCTCAAAGATCGTGAACTGCGTGACAAGTTGAAAATGAATGATACCTTGCACAGCTCGCGGGACGAGAGGGGAAACGGAGGGGGTGACGTCGAAGATGGCGGCCATCGTCTGCCGAGTCTGCAAGCAACTGGTTTCTTTTTTTTTATTATTCGTTCGAAAAATTTGAGGTGAGCAAATTTTGAGTAAAGATCAGAACAAAGGACGGCGGACCGTGCAAAAAAAACAATAACACCTCGGTTATCAGTAGTACTAAAATTTAGTTTTACTTGGCATCTATAAAAAAGGATTGGAACTAAACTAAAGATATACTGAGGTAACATCTATATAAGAATTAGATTTTTCATCAGAGGAAAAAGTTTTTGTTTTAAATATATTCTGCTCATTTTTATTTCCTAAGCCATTTTGAACTATTTTGAGAGCTTACGAATATCTCGACGAAAATTTTTTAAAAAAAGCTTTGTACTTTTTCGACAGAGTTCGAACAGGCGAAATTGATCCTGGCCGATTTATTTGTTTGCTGAGAAAATACGCTTTTCGAGCCCCCCTCTCGTATCGAAAACTGATAAGTGCAAAAGGAAAAACAAACTTTTGATTCGAAAAAAAGAAGTTACATCAAATGTTTATGGAAAGGTTATTTTGATATTTCTCTCCGAAAATCGTGTCTAGAACTGTATAAATTTCCTGCCTGAGGCTGTCAAACAACAAGAGATTAGTTTTTGGAGTTCGCTCTTTTAGTACTAGGATGGAGTGATAGCGAAAAGGAAGAGGAAAATTGCGTCAATCGGGATTTTATCCCTGAGAAATGGTTGGAAAAAGAAGAATTTAAGAAACAATCGAGGAAGTGAGAAAAGGTGTGGAGCGGACGTTCCGAACGGAAGGCGCGACGCAGGTGCTCCCAATTGGAGTGTAAAGATTATGCGAGGCGCGTCGCCAGGTTTACCATATTACTCATTTTGAATCGAGCAGTTGGACGTCGATTTCGCTAAAATTAATTTCCCACGATTGAAGTTTTTTCAAGATTTCTCTTGGAAGAAAGTGAAAAATGCTGGAAGTGAAATTCTGAAAGTAGAAACGTTTTTGAAAAAAAAACTTCCATGTTGGCTCATCCCATATTCCTCGAAGAAAAACAACCTACAACAATCACTTAAGAAAAAAGAAATTATAAATTTGCAAGTTATGTGCAAATATTTTCATATTATAAACTAACATAGCGGTTGGGATTTTGATGCTTTTACTCAATAATACGAGTCCTTAATTTTCGATAAAGCGGAAAAAGTTTCAAGGATATGATTAAAAAAGGTAAACACTGGTTGCAAGCAGTTTCTCCAAGCATTTGACTCAATCTCTCTTTAATAAAGCTAGTCATGTTTGTAGAAGTTCGAGTTTTAAAAAAGTCCGTTTCACCTCACTTTTAATGATAGTCGTGACAAGCGAAAGGATGGAGAATCGCTGATTCGTGATGCTATTTTGTATCTTTCTTCTCTTTTTGTTTCGAATCACGTGCTTGCTACTGAAGCATTGTCCATTGGGTTGATAAGGTTCTAGAAAAAAACAGCTACAAATTTACTGTAGATACAAAGTTTGAAAAATTTCTGGAGAATTTGGCTCGAAACGTACGATAATAGAAGGACGAAAAATGATGTAAAAACTTTTTTTGCGACGACCAGATCAGAATTTAAATCAATTGAAAAGCAACCGGTAAAAAAAAGACCAAAAACAATTGGAAAGGTCAACAAACGGCGACTCCCTCGGTTACTTTTTACCTTTTTGGTGCCGGTTGTTACACACTTCTTTTGTTTCTCTATTTCATTTCTTATTTGATTGCGCCATGTGTTTCACAACTCCAGTTGCGATTGAAAATTGAAGTGGAATTAAAGAAACTTGGGCTAATGAAGAGGTCTGTGAAGGAGTTCTCTTCATAATTGCTCAGGCCTCATTAAAACAAGAGAAAAAAAGAGGAAAATAGGTTCAAAAAGTTGTTGAAGGACAGATATATTTTGTTCAACCCGGAAAAAAATCTTGCAACGTAGATGTAGGAGAAAAGCTGTCGATTCTTATTTTTCATTCTCATATAAAAAGAGAATCGAACGTTTTTCACGGTGGAACTTTGGGTAAAAGCAAAAGCACAGCTTTTTCGAGTAGGATAAAGCTTAGGCTTATCGATGGACGTAGGAAAAGTGGAAGAAGCTGGATGATAATGCCAAGGCCGATTTTTGAAAGCTTACTTTCAAATGGAGGCGCGAAAGTTTTTATGAAACGAAACTCGAAAAAGGAAGTTCCTAGCGGTCAGCAACGGCGCTACGAGACAGACTGGCGGGCGGGGCGGCTCCCACTTCTTATCGCTTTTTGATTGCGAGTTTTGCAGAGCTGCTCTGTCTGTATTTTGCTCTTATTTTCTAACCCAATGATTGGTTGATTGATAGGTTGAGGGGTCTGTGTTGATCCCATGTATGCACGGATTATCTCTGAGGCGAAAAACGCCGCCGTCATTCCCAAATATTTCTTGTCGGAATGAGAAGGCAGCTACAGTTTCTACAAAAACAGCTCAATCTAGTCCGTCAGATACTTCATGTAACTTGAACCTTTCGAAATATAACTGTGGTTATATAGTCGCCCTCTAAAAAGTGTACTAATTTCATAATAAAACTAGTGAGTTACTCGTTTAGAAGCAAAAGATAAAAGTTGTGAGCTATCAATATCTCGACGTTGATCTTCTTTTTCCGAAAAATAAGGATTGTTATTTTATCTTTTTTTTCCGGTAATTTTAAAAAAGTTTATGAGAAAAAAAGATTGTATTTCAAAAGAAACTCTTGTCAAAGTTAAGCTCATCAAGATTTGATTGACTTGTTATGTAGCTGAGCAAATTCCATGAGTTCTTGATGGCAACAGAATTTCGTGCCCCTGCAGCAGCTTAATCGGATTATCAGTTATCAGTCTAGCTACGACATCAGTCCGATAAGCGATCAGAACAGTTTTTGCGGGGGAGAACGTTTCGGCGAAAAATGATTTCATCTTCACGAAATTGATAGCCCTAGTGCAGGTTATAAAAATTTGAATACTCTTCGATATTAAAAACAGAGTTAGGTTGAGGAAAATTCCCTACATTTTGAATTTTTGAATGAGGTTTGAATCGTACATTTTTCGAACTCATTTTTGTGTTAATATTTTCTCAGGATGCGAAAAAGCGGTCATTTTTAGTTTTCTGACTCAACAACGAGTTTTGAAGCCTTGGCGATTTATTTTTTAGCTTTTCTTTCAAAATCTGAAATGGTGACGTCCTAGGACTTAAACTCATTCAAAACCAACTTCCGACCGCTTTTTGGATAAATTATTTTTTCTTTGTCATAGAAATATGGTTTATATGTAGAATCTGTGAAGGAAACTTTGTTGTGGTCATGCCAGACAATCGTACGATCAAATTAATGGCTTTAGAATATTTGCCGACAATTGCATCATTCTGAAAAACTGTTTCGGACTCCAAGAAAGGTGTCTTATCTCATTCACGTGAAACAGCTCCTTTGGAAATTAGGGTGTTATTTTTTCTTATCAATTCTCTTGTTTTCGAAAAATTTTGTACCGTCAGGATAAAAATTTGAGAGAAAAAAAAAACTATTGAGGATGAAACAATACATAAAGAAGAGTGCTGCAAAAGTCTCATTGAAATTCAGGCGATTAAAGAAGCCTTTTTTATTCAAGTTGAACGCTTTAAGAAGAGCATTGTGAAAGAAACAAGCTTAATTGTTGGAAGCATTTGGATAAAAAAAAGAGAAAAATGTCCAAGAGAAGACGCGCCAACGGAAGCGACCTTGATAATGATAAGGCTCCTGGCTTTTTTGAATATTTCCTCTGTAACCGCTAATTTTAGATTTGCTGTGACGTGTGGCGTGCTTGCAATTTCCAGGACAAAAAGATGATAATTATATAGTGGAACCTTTTATTAGACATTGATAAAAAAGCAAAGAGTAATAGAAGGAACTATGTTTCTGTTCTCAGACTTCCTACCTTAGAAGAAGGAATAAAAATGTTAGAGCGCTTTTCCTTTACTCGGAGTGAAATTTCATTCAAGTAGTCAGATTATTCTATTCAATGGCTGTTTTTTGTTGCCGTCAAGGTTTTGTCCTTGAAATCGTGTAATGTTTTGAAATAGATCGGACCATGATTGATAGGGTTCGGTACTAATCCCTGATATAATTGTGTATTGAGAGCATGAAACCAGAAAGCTTATTAGCTTTGACGTCGGACGGTTTTTTCCGGGTTACTGATGACAGAAAATCGATGGCGTTTTCAGTTTAGTGAACCATATTCTGTAGTCAAAATCATCAAAACAATCTAATCGTCTTTAATAGAGGGAATACACCTCTGAATAGTCACAGACAAGCCATCCACTAACCGCCGAAGTCATTTCCACTACATCTTAGTTTTTGAACAGCTTCAAATCGAAAAATTGGTTTTGAAACGGTTTCATAAACTCTAGAGGGAATGGATTTGGAGAATATCATTCCCATCCGTGCTAATTTTTTTTCGACTCTGAAACACTGTAGTTTCCATCTATATCAACTTCCCTTTTGTTGGCAAATATTGGATGAAAAGAGGCCTTGTTGGCATTTTAAAATAGAGTTCGTCCAGACCAGAAACAGGACAAAAGTCTGACTTTAACTTTGAGATTTTCGTTGGATACAAAGCGTAGAAAAAAAAGCTTTCTCCGAATTGAAGATTGAAAAATTTATCGATATTTCAGCCACAAAAGAAAATTATAAACAGAGAGCGCGGAAAATCTTTCCAGTATAACTTCAAAGAAGGAAAAAAAACTTTGATCAACACAGATGAAGTCTTGTTTTTTGCAATCAAACTTTTTCAAATCAAGAAGTGAGCGTTGAAGCAGCCCATTTTGCGGTAATGTTTCTTTAGACATGACGAAAATTCCGATTTTCTTTTAATTCTCTTGAAACTGATTCGAAAAAATTCTATTTTTTGCAAAATCGAAAAGAAATTTTTAAAAAATAATTCTTTTTTTTTGTAAATGATCAGTTACTCTCAGTTATAATTTTTTCAGAGTACTTTTTTTATAGTTTGATCAAAAAAACTGCAGTTGATGAAATCATAAATGATGTTATGCGCATTTGAACCACTACCAAGCAACTTTAAGCAGACTACCGAAACTGAGAAAAATGGTTTTAATCAAAAAACTCGTTATTTTTTAGAAATTTCTACTGAAAACTAAGACCAAAAAGAAGCTTTTTCACCATCATGTTTCCTACTCGGATAGGAAGGTGCGTGGGAGAGACCAAGTATCCACTTTTTTCGGAAATAAAAAAATTCCATACGGCAAAAGCTGAGCTAACAGTTTGAGGCTGATACGACATTTCACATCATGGGGATGTTGAAAATTTCAGTTTTTCGGGTCGTTCCTATAAAAGGGAGGATGAAGGGAAAGTCGCCACTCAGTTCCTGGCTCGGGTCCCGACGAGTACCGCATGCGCGTTACCGTAATCCTTCTCTGCGCTCTTAGGTATGGATTTTTGTCTCAAGTATGAGCTTTTTTTTAATTTTCATTCAAAGCTATGATTTTTCTTTCTTAGTTGAATTTTTGAATCACAAAGTTTAAGCGGAGTTGCGGCGCTGAACCCAGATGTCGTGGAAAAAGTTCAGAACGCCGTCGGAGAGGCCCTCGGCGTCATGGACAACCGCCTCAGCAACGAGAGCACCGTCAAAGGTAGCCTTTCCCATCAAAATAATCCAAATATTGCGTCTTCTTAAAGATGGACAAATAATGACGTCACAAAAGGCCAACGAACAGTCGAAAGATCTGCAGTTCACCGCTGACATCCTTCAAGAAGTCACTCAGATCCTCGTCACCAAATATGGAGTGGTTAGTCACTAGCCGAACAGCTCCTGGAGTAGATTAGGGGGTTTCAAACTCAAATCTTTACCTAGTCTTAAAATCACTCTTCAAAATCCTGACAAGAAAAATTGACACAAAACTCGAAAACGAAAAAAAAATCATCGGAAATCGATAGTTTTTGAGTTTTCAATCAATTTTCTGTTTAGCGAGCTTGAGATCGAAAGTAGTCCACTCCTAAGTTTTTCGTTCTTTTTTTTCTTGGAAATCCCGATATTTAACTAATAGGGAATGGAGACTGACTAACTTCAAAAAAGTCGGACTGTTATTCTTTAAACTAAGGAAAAACCTGCACAAGGTTGGAATACACAGGTAGATTTTGAGGAAATCCTGCCAGAGGCGAACGAAGTGATCGAGTCGATGTTGGGACAAAGCGACGAGGACGACAGCTCGTTGAAGCGCAAGAAACGGCAGTCGAACTACGGCGGAGGCGGAGGCAGCCAATCGACGCCGACCAAAAAGAACTGTCAAGTGCCGTCCGACAACTGTCGCCAGTCCTTCCAGTTAGTCAAGGAATTCATTTACATAAATACTTTGAACTTTACGACGGAAAGGGAATAACTCGACGTAGAATGAAAAAAAAGTATGTATTCAATTTTTGCTGAACTGTGAAAGGCAGTTTCCCATGTTATATTGAAACGAGAAAATTTTCACTAAAGAGTAATAAAAAGAAACTTTCAGATAAACTCAATCGTAACAATGTCATTTGTAAAACTTGGATCTGAGATTTTGCATTTTCTGGGTGTGCTGTGAACCGGGCTTTTTGTATCAGAAATGTATAATAAAAATGGTTAGAAGCTTCTAGTTCCATGGCAAAAATTTGAAATTACGTGATAAGCGAACAAAAAACTCAATCATTGAACTCTCAAAGAAAAAAATGGAGAATAGCTTTGGTCAGGAAGTTTTCGTCGTGTCAAAAAGTTTGACGTTCCTTCGACCTAATGACCTTGATTGTTCTTACCGCCTTCGCTGAGATTTTTATGAGTAATGAACATCACTTTTTTGTGTTGAAAGCTCGATTTGAAAGTGTTTTCCAGCTTGAAAACACGTAGTATCACTGGAATCTGCAACAACCTGGAAAACAAGAAGCTGGGCAACTCCGTGACCGCCGTCCGACGCCTTCTTGGAGTTCCTTTCTACGACGACAGTAATAACTAAAGAAAGTGAAAATTGTCAATCTTGCTCAGATCTGAACGCCCTGAGGACTAGGTCTGTGAATGGCGGAACTCTGCCATCAACTCGCTTGATTTCCAACACCTTGCACGACGAAGTTGGCTCGAAAGCCTGTTTACAAGTGAAGTTAACGGAATTCAGGGAGCTCAGCCGGCTTTTGACGGAATGACGAATCACATGCATATGCAGGTCGGGCAGTTCATCGCCCACGACATCATCTTCATGCCTTCCTCAACTGGTGACTTTCCTCATCAGCTATTCTTTTGAAAATCAGAGGATAGGATCGAACGGGGAGGCCCTCAACTGCACGGAGTGCAACTCTGGCACGAAAATCTCGTCGAATTGTGCGCCGATTCCTGCGCCAGCCGATGACAAGTACTTCAAACCTGTTAATGGACCCAGGTAAATGTCCGCAACATTTTATCAAGCTTTTTCTAGTCTCAACTTTTCAAAATTTGCCTTTTTCACAAGTTGAGATCATTTTAGGGGCTGAACTTGTACCTAGCTTTAGTCAACCTTGAAAAAGACCCTCCCCTAGCGAGACTCTCATAAATCCCATCTTATGTTAAAAAAAGTTTTTGTACACGAATATTTCAATACAAGCTTTATGTTGAAAGAATTTCTTGGCGTTTTTTATATATTGGAATTCAGATGTATCCGGCTGACAAGAGCGCTCAATGGGCAGAAAGGCCTCGGCGTGAGGACGCAGATCAACCAAAACTCCCACTTCTTGGACTTGTCTTCGGTCTACGGAAGCAGCGATTGCGAGGCTCAGTCTGTGCGGTCCAACAACGGTCTTCTTGAGATCTACATGGGGAACGGCAACGTGCTCCCTCCGCAGGCCAAGAATGTGAGGAACTACGGCTTTCCGAAGAACGTGAAGGCGTTTCCAGGACAGCAACTGCCAGTCGACCAGCCCCTACTTCTGCTTCACGTGCGGCGACTTCCGCAACAGTCTCCATCCAGGCCTTGTTCCTCTCCATGTCGTCTTCATCAAGGAGCACAACCGCATCTCTCAGCTCCTCAGAGCCGCCAAGCCTCTCCAAAGCGACAACGTCTACTATCAGGCATTTCGGCGGTGTCCTTTCCTCGGGACCTTCCTCTTTTTAGCTCACACGCAAGATCATGATCGGCGTGTGGCAGCACATCGTCTACAACGAGTATCTTCCACGTCTCCTTCCAGACGATTACATCAATGATTTCGACATTCGTCCTGGAAAGCCTGGTGATAGCTTTTACAAAGGTTCAGACATTATCAGCATCAAATTCGTTAAAATCTCTCTCTAGGATACTCTTCCACAACGAACCCATCTCTCAGCGCCGAATTTGCTGCCGCCGCCTTCCGTTTTGGACACAGCCAGGCACGCAAGGATTTCCCAAGGTAGTTACAAAAAATTTTTCTCAAAATTGGAAACGAGTCTTAAATGAGATTTTTTTTAATTATAAAACCTAAGTAAATGTCTTCAGCGATACAACTGAAATTCCGAGATGTCTTCAACCCCTTAAATTAATTTCTTACCCTGTTTTTGCATCTCCAGCTCTTTTTTTCTATTTCGAAGCGTTCCAGGCAAAGCAACACAAACGGAAGTTTGGGCACTGCTGTCAATATTGGAAGCAACATTTTCTACGCCGAATCTCAGTACCAAACTACGGCCGGCGCCACAGAATCTCTGCTCCAAGGTTTCCCTTCAGCGAGGAATCGAGCTCATCTAGAAATATCAGGAATGCTGTACACGCCGGCAATGAAAGTCGACCAGCAGTTCTCCTTCCCCATTCGGAACCAACTCTTCGAGATCCGAGGTCAGCCGGCCTCTGGCGTTGATCTCGTCGCCGTCAACATCATGCGCGGACGGGACATCGGTCTCGGACCATACGCCAAGTATCGGTTAGTGAAGTTGGATAGCCGACAGAAACTTTAGCCTTCCTCAGTTTATTTGAATATTTAACTCTTGTAAAAGAAGTTTCGCATCGTAATAGTAAAGTTGGAAGTAGCCAGGTGAACGTTTTGGGATCCTTGTCCCATCTTGGAAAAGGATGTTTTTAAGCCCATCTTCACAATTTGGGTAATTTGGATTTTTTCTTCTTTAAATTATTGAAATGTTCTGAGAAATATAGAGATGAATTAAACTTTCCAATATTTACGAGATCTCGCAAGAAAACACTTCGACGCCCCACAAACATATCTTGGAAGAATTTTTTTCAAAAACAAGACTGTTAAAAACATATAAATCGGTTGGACCGGCGAGAAGTTTTCTTCAAAAAGTGAATCCAGGTATCAAGTTGGTCTGCCACCGGTCTACAGCTGGAACGACCTCAACCAGCAGATGCCGCCGAATAACGTCGCCGCCCTGAAGACCGTCTACGACGATCCTCGCGACGTCGACCTCTACACTGGCATCCTGATGGAGCGGCCTTTGCAAGACGGCATGGTTCGCTCGAATCGACGCTTTCCCATTACTTGAACTTATTCAGCTCGGTCCAACTGGCTCCCACATAATTGCTGAGCAGTTCCGTGCTCTGAAGAAAGGAGACCGTTTCTACTATGAAAACGATGTGGGCGGCACCGAAGGATTCACTAGAGGTCTCAATATTGACCCTAGAAAAAATTAAAATAAAGTGATATTCTCTCAGATCAGCTCGACGCCATCCGAAGAGTGAAGCTCTCCAAAATCCTTTGCATGAACACTCCTTCGATGATCAACGTCAACCTACAAGTCTTCGACACGTCAGTTTCTCTCTCCCAAGTCGATATCAACTGGTTTTACTTGCAGAAACAGTCCAAAAGTCCCTTGCACGAGCATTCCGGAGATCGCCATTCAGCCTTTCATCGCCGCTCTCTGAGCTGGTGTTTTTCCGACCATTTTTGATAAAAAATTGTTGAAAAATTGGTTTTTTCATTCAAAACATACGGTTGAAAAAATAAAAATGGGTATTAAAAGTTTAACGTGAAAAACAGCTTCAAATAAAAGAAAAGACGTGAAAATGATGATATTTCTTCTTGATTACGCATACAACGAACTTCAATCGTCAACGAAAATGGTTTTGTCATTTTTCCAGTTGTTTTTTTTTTGATTAATAGGACTTCAGTCGCAGTACGCTGAATATGATAAGATGTTCGGAACGGACAAGATCGACGAAGGCTACAATGCCTTGAAAAAGGTTTTCCAAGCCGAATGTTTGGCGATGTTTAAAAAGTTCAGAAAGTGGGCGGCGGCGAGAAAAATCCCGAGATTTTGTGGCGGCTGGCGCAGTTCTGCTACGAACGCGCTCTCCGGTTGCCTTCCAAGTCTCGCAAAGACCTCACTGTCGAAGGTTCTCAGACCAGCAGAACATTCTTCGAACATTTTTGGCGTTTGAGGCAGAGACTATGCTTTGGAGGGACATAAGATGGATGAAAAGAACTATCAAGCGCTCAAATGGGCGGCGGTTCTGTCAGGACAGGCGACAGAGTACATGCCAACTAAAGAGAAAATCGGGTTTGTATATTTCATTTATAGCTGGTTTGACATGACCATTCCGACAAGAAAGACCTTTCACGATATTCAATGAGAAAATTGATTGATTATCGATTTTTCTGCGTTTTATTTATCGATACTACTAAAATTTTCAATTCCTTCCGTTCAGCCTAAGTAAAAGAAATAAAATCACAGAGCCAGCGCTGAGTTCAAAACTCTCCTCGACCTGGCGATCCAAAGTCAACCCCAAGGATCGAACTACGCTTCATTTGCGCGGCCGCTACACCTACGCCGTGGCCAATTTATCCTGGATGGAGAGAAAAGTGCCGTTTTTGACTTAATTGTACATGATTTCCATTTTCCTTCAAACGAAAATGTCGTATTCGTTCCTTCAATCAAAATGTCAATCAAAATTTTTTATTTCTCACACACAAGTACTAAATTTCATTCACACAAGTACTAAACTTCATTCACAATTTCGCGTTCTTCTCAAGTTGTCAGAGATTTTTCGCAGGTTGCCTCGGCGATGTACTCGACGGTCCCGAAGGCTTCTTTCGAAGACGCCTTGGCCGACTTCATCGCCGCCTACACTTTGCTGCCAGATTGGATCGAAAACGATCTTTTCTTAGGCAAATGTTATCTCGCCTTGAAAGACAAGGTTTTCAGCCTCTTCTTTTGGGTTTATTTATTCTTTTTTTCAGGCCAATGCCAAAAGGTTTTTCACCGAGGCCACCAAATTGAAACCTTTAAACGACCACGAATCCGATCTGATCGCCGAGGCGAATCAGCTGCTCAGCAAGTGTTAATTCGAGAATCTGCATACAAATAAAAATTTAGCTAGAAGCATTCTGTTGCAATTTCTTTTCTCGAATTCACTTCTAACAAGCTATCGATTTCATGTTTCCTTTTCAAAACAAGTAATTTCTTACCTAGCAGTGGTCTTTTTCCCTCCCTGCAACCATCCCGATGTTGCGAAAAATAAAATGATTGAATAGTATATAAATGGGCGTAGTTCTTAAAAATTTTTTTCAATCATTTTTTTTTCTCTTTTCTAATATAAAAAAATTTCAGTTACTTTTTCGAACTTTACTTTGGCATTTGTCTTTTTGAATGAAAAAAAGGAATTACAATCAAAAAAATTTGAAAATGAGAGTAATTCCTTCATTAAACCTCTCAAAAAGTTTTTAGCATGTGTGTAATTTTGATTTCGCTTCATCTTCCACTGGCAACTATGATGTCATCTGACGAAACGAAACATAAGATAAAAATCCAATTTATGTCGCAAATGGCAAGCAGATGAAAGGCCGAAAATGCGAGGAATCGAACGGTAGCAAGGAGTTTATTGCAAAAGGTAGGCACAAGGACCGCCCATTTCCCAGTCCATGGGGAATTCCTGGGAGTTGCTTGACTGGAATGCGCGGCGCATCGTCTGAAAATGTGTTATCAGAGATATATAAAAAGAGCCCGTAACGAGGTTTCGTGAAATGATAACTTTTTAAACGAATTTGGAATTAGTACAATCTGTCACGATTCAGGAGATAAACATTTCTGAGCTTTCTTTTTAAATAGAAAAGCAGTTTCCAAGAAAAATAAAATTTCCTTCTTTGTTTAAATTCAATTTCCCCTGCTGTAGATATTTTTTTTCAGAGTCGAGTGAAGATTATTCTTTTTAGTATTGATTTTTTTTTTGCTTGGCGATAGTTTTTTCAAAAGAAAACTCAGCGTTTTGAAAACAACTCTATATCATTATTTCCAGGCTGACACTGTTGAAAAAAAAAATGAAACCTAAAAGTTCGTTTCAATCAACTTTCAAAGTGGAAACTATCTTATTCAGCCGGGTCTCAAAGAGAAAAAAAGAGAGTTGCGAAACGCGGCGGGTGCCAGTGGAAGAGGGGAGAGTGGTGAAAGATACATCGACACGCAAGTCGCGCGGAGTCGGGGGCGCTCTAGTGTGTAGTGGCAAGCGGCCGGTTGCTTCTTCGAGACCATACTATACAGAATCATTTCTGCAGTATGTATCTCGCAATCCCCATCAAAATGGCACACACGCCAACTGCGATGAAAGGGAGACGGGCGGGCCGCGAGCGTGAAGCACCGTATTCACGGTTGATGACCGCGTCGGAACCCATTTTTGGAGTCCAACTGTGGCCTGCTCTTCTGAGCAGTATATGAAAAAGCAATGTACTTTGAAAGTAGTGGCTGAATCCTATAGGATATATTCTGATCGTCAAATAGAGAGGAAAAAACCAACTGAGTATATGGCCTGGTAGTTGGGTGCGTCGTAGTACTTCAGAGCGTCGACCATGCGCATAATTTCTTGGAATTCATTGGGACAAGGCGGCGGGAAAAGCTCCATGAGATTACCGCGGACGCGCTGTTTGTAGGCGCCGACCTGCAGATCCATTTCCTTTTCCGTGCTTTCAAGTCAAGGACCGACTTGACCCATGTCGGCGATGTCTTTCCATGGGAGGCGTCCGAAAGTCAGTTCAACCTGCATGTACATCCACGTTTCGACGTCATCTTTCCTGGTGAGATGAAGTTCATTTTCTTAGCAGAAAAATATGATAAAAATATAGTCAACTTTTCCCGACTTGGAAGGCGAAGGAGACAGGGCAAGGGGCGGGACGCGTAGCGTGTGCGTTTGCGGTTCTTGGCACTAGTTCAATTCAATTGCCGCCGACTATTCAAAAAGCTCGGCAGCCGCTTCAATGTTTTCTACTATTTTTTGATGCACACATGAGCATAATCAATAAATAATTGAAAAAAGAATGATAAGAGCGAAAAACGGGCTTTTCAAAGAGTCGATGGCGGTTGAATTGAACACGTGCCAAGAACAGCGAACGCACACGCTACGCGTCCCGCCTCTTTGCCCGCCTCCCTCGCCTTTCAAGTCGGGAAACATTGACTATAGAAGGTATTATATAACGAAAGTTTTACGGAATATTAAGAGCTCCGTATTTTGTTTTAAACTATCTGTGAACTAATTATAAATGTGCTATTCAGATTCATACAACTTGTTTCTTTTTGAATACAAATAACTTTGATAAGAACATTGATTTCTTCAAGCTTCCAAGAAAATAAATTTCTCAGATTAGAGTGGAAGACTGACCGACAGAGCTCCCTCTGGAGATGGCAGGAAATCGGAGCGTAGCGGACCGTGCCGCGGAATCCAGCCGCCTGTCGCGGCTTCCTGATCACTCCCTGCAGACCAAGTTTACCTTGGAGCGAGGAAACTCATCACTTACCGAATCGTTCGTGAATTTTCGACACATGCCGAAGTCGAGAATGTAGACCTGAAGCAATTGTGAATGTGTTGAGCAATCAAAAAAAAAACTGAAGCTTCTTCTTTTTCACGAGATCCGATTATATTCAATTCTTATTAAAAAAAGTTTTTACAGGAGAGTTTTTCGTGCTATAACTAAAGAAAGACATTTCAATTTCCAAAAAAGAATAAACCTTGCGAATTTCATTGAGTTCAGGACGTCCAATGGTATAGTTGCCAGGCTTGACGTCTCGATGAAGGTAGCCGATTTGGTGAAGATCTACAAAAAAGTTTCTGAAAAACTAAAAAAAAACTTTGAAATAAAGACTTTTTTTCCAACATAAAAAAAGATTTCAAGTACCTTCAAGAGCCTCGAGAGCTTGAATTCCGACGCCAATCGAGCAGCCGAGGGTCATGTGTCCTCCCGGACCAGCCTTGTTCAAATCCTACGACTTTTTCATTCGAAACTTCCGCAACAAAGTTCGCAAGACCTGCAAAGACTTGCCGACGAGGGTCATGACGACAAAGTTGAAGTTTCCATAACGGCCCTTGTCCTCGATCTTGCAGAAATGTCTGTTGCCGCGCTTCGACAGCTCGTTTAGCACGGAGACTTCCAGTTTCAGCACCTGAGACGGCGTTCCAAGAAGAGGGAGCTAGACCAACCTGGATCTGTTCGTTACAGCCTTCCACCTTCATGGCGTATTGTCCTGTGGCGTCGCGCACACGGTAGACGGCTCCAAAACCGCCTTCTCCCAACTTTTTGTCGATCGTCCAGCGCTCGACCTGCAGAATCGGAGTACAGCGTACTTCAAGCCGAAAAGGAGAGCCAGAAAGGCGGTCGTGAAAATCCATTTTACATAGTTCACCGCATCATAAAATTTGAGTTTCCAAGTAAATTTGAAATGGACAGCTACCCTTTAATTAAATTATGTTCGTTTAAAGTCCAAATCAAAAAATCATGCTTAATTTTTGTCGATTTCAATGTTGTAGGTAGGAAGAAGACGATTCGGGTCACCTGCTGGCCGGGTTGAAGCTGGACGAGTTCTGCAGCCATGTCTGTTCTCGCTGATGAAGTAGGTCGACCGCCGCACGAGGAGACAGCTTTTCAAATAGTGCTCAGCCATGTCGTCGTCCCTTCACGTCGTCTTTTCTTCATTTTGACGCTTTCAATGTTTTTTGTGACGTTTTTCTAGCGAATTTTCTAATGAAATGTATGCTCAAATTGTTTGATTCTCTCAAAAAATAAATTGATCAAGCTGTTAATTTTGCACTAGTTTATTTAAAAATGGAAAGATAAAAGAAAAAATAGAATTGATTTATTTTTTAAACTTTTTGACATATCAAAGTCAAAGTGTCGCTGCCGGAGTTTCTAAGATTTCCACTTGAAAGACTGATTTATTTGTGGTGTTCTGTTGGACCTTTCGTTGACGTGAAAAAGGAAAATAAAACAAAAAGTTAGATAATATCTTAACGAAAGTTATGAAAAGAGTATGTCCAAAGACAAATATCTTGAGACTGTTCATAACACGAACGTCGAAAAAAAAGTTGACCGAAGGCAGATGTCAAAATTGTAAATGGAAGAAAAACACAAGATTTTTTCACGTTTTCTTTTTTAAGTCTACATTATTATATAATTTTTTTCTCAATATTTGCCGTTTTTTCGACTGTGTACACTGATCTCTTTCTGGTTCTGAAGTGAATTAGCTGTTTGAGATTCCAATCGAGAAACTTGATGATGTGCGGTTGTTTTTGGCTCCTTCGGGGACGCCCGTTTCGAGGCTCCCCGAGCCCATGAGCCCATCGATTCTCAGCGCCAAAACTCTCACGCAGTCGTCCTTCGAAGCTTCATGCATTTTCTCGTTACCCGTTCTCCAGATTGCTTCTGTCAACTTTCGTCTTCTATCCAGACTTCCTCAGCATCTTCTTGACTACGATGTACTCAATTTTTGAAGCTGGTGAACCCAAAAACTGATTTTTAAAATATTCTCTTGACCTCCATTCTTATCCAACTGAGAAATCAAAAAAAGTTTTGGAATGATTCGTTTTCCACCGGTTGTTTCTGTCGGATCAAAGACATAAAAACAGAATCAAAGAAAGCTCAAAGCAACTGTTGTGGGCATTCGACGGCTCGTATTTCCATCACATGCCATTCTCCGCGCTCTTGTTCTTGTCACCAGTTTTCCAAACACCGTTCTTTTATTTTTGTGCTCAGCTAAACTTTCAAATAACAGTTTCATTCAATTGAAAACTAATTGTCTGATCTTTCGGTCTCGGCGAAGCCTTCCACTTAAAATTTTAATTTTTATTCCAGTTACTATTCATTTTGAAGCCTCCACAAAGGAAGGAACGCTTCCATGTGCCAAAACGGTTGCCCGTCAAAGTTATGGCAGTTGTTCATATTTCCAACGCTTTTCAGAACCTTTTAACTAACTATTCCTACTCTTTTTCTCTGTTCGTTAGTTCTAGGTATGATTTTACTGTTGAAATGTTTTTCCAAATGGACAACGAATTTTCTTATACTTATTTCCAAGGCTTCAGTTTTACGAAGCTCATGAAAAAAGCCTATTTCCAGGGTAAGATGGAATCTCTGCTGTTGCTTTTCATCGCTGTCGCTGCTTTTGCGAGTGAGTTTTTCATTTCGAAACTTTTTTGAAGGTCACATTTGAAAATATTCTAGATAACTCGAAAATTTTGAAAAGTGTCTAGTTACTTCGTCCGAGCTTCCCCGCCTAAATTTTCAGGGCGTCCGTGTTTCAAACAAAAACAGAAATGTTTCAGACACAGTAGAAGGAGCGGCGAACTGCTCGGTGAGCGGCGAGCTCTCGTGCTTCTCTTGTATGGGCCGTGACATGGAGAACTGCCGGTCCGGTCTGACCTGCTGCAAAGGCGCCTGTTTCAAGCTGCAGGACCTCGGTCAGAACATTCCACATTCAGCTGCGCTCTAGTGAACCAATTCACGCGCCTCGTTTATTATGTTTCGGTGCGAAATAAACAAGCAGAGAAGTGCTTTTTCTGGATTCATAAGTCATGCTCTCAACTAACCCGACTAACAAATCGATCCATCTTTGACACGAATAGAACACAAATCCGGAAATTCGCCTCAACTAACCGGATCAACGTTATAAATGCCATTCATAACTGAACTAAGGAAGCTGGAAAGATTCGCACAGAATTTCTGAAATAAAACTAAAAAGTTTTCTCATTGGGTTTTTTCCCCTTTTTATTTATTTCTTCGTATTCTGGTTAGCATGGCTTCTGATTCAGAAAATTTCCAGTTGCGTAGAGCTTTCTGCGAATATTTAGAGCAAAAACTCGCTAAACCGTGGAAAGAAACAATTTCCTTCTAGAAATTGGATTTTCTTGCAGTGCACAACGTGATGGTCAAGGGATGTGTGGACACAAAGGAAGAAGACGCGTCGATGAAAGTTCGGGAGCTGAATGTCCCGCTCTACTGGGCCGACAACGAGAAAGTCAAAGGTTCGTCTTTTATCATTACCATAAATTCGTTTAGGGCAATCTGTATGAAAAAATTTATTGTCATTTAACGGTTTCAGACAAAATAAACTTGACACCTCCTTTTACTGAACTCATTCTTCGAACTTCTTTTTTTGGACATTTTTTTAAAAGCTTATCCTTTCCTCGAACTTTTTTTAATGCATAAATAAAAAGTGAAACAAAAATAACTCAGCTGTTGTTTTTTTATTTTCAGAAATTGTCAAAAAAACAGGAATTTTTTTGTAAATCGGAGGATTATTTTAATTTTATATTTGAATCAACATGAAAAAAAGTGGTTTATATTACACAGCGAGAATCCATCTTTCCAGACTGATGTAACAATAAAGATTTCAATAAAAGCTTTCAGGTGAATCTTTTTTCTGCAACAGCAAGGATTTCTGCAACAGCGCCCTTCGACAAGACATTTCCCTTATTTTCGCGGCGATTTCCCTCGTTTTCACTCATTTAGTGCTTTGATTTCTCATCCGCCAACGTTTGGAACAGACTTCCAGGCTGGGAAAGTAGCTTCAGGTATGAATTATTCAGTCTGTTGGCATGTGCCAACGGCTTTTTCGGATGAATAGTTATTCAACGTTTCGATAATCATGATAGTTTATTGATAGCGTTTTTCGCAATGGGGTTTTTAATGCTTGAAATTCCCCTTGAGAAGGCTCTTAAAATTTTTTTTTCTTTTTTGATTTTTATTTTTGTACCTCACGACATTGTTGATTTATAGCGTCTAGGAGGTTATTCTAGAGTTTGAAAAACTTCAAAGAATATTTCTTATATGTACAATTTTTGATAGGGTTTTTCGTTTGAATTTCAAATCATTAAGCATTTTTTTCTTTTGAAAAAAATTTGAATCTTAATCGTCTTCCTCGAATTAATAAGCTCACTGCCTTCTTTTAACTTTTTTCTCTTCGTTTTTGCGCCAAATAAATAATTTTTAAATTCGATTTTTTAAGAACAATGACAAAAATACTCGTATCGGAAAGTCGGGGAAAATAATATACCCGGATATGAGAACTAGAAGTGTAAATGACGTGATAGGAGATAAGAAAACTCAAAATAGCTATTTCTGAAGACATGTGCAAACGTCGGAAATAGAATTGAAACGGCAACGTCGTGGCGCGATTCGCACGAAGGGCTCGAAGACAAGTGACGTCATGTTGAAAACTACGTCTTCTTCGGTGCGAACGAGAAGCTGCACGTCTTCTCCAGATGCCGTCAGTCCGTCTACTTTCATCTCATGCGAAACAAACTGTAATTGACGCTGTTTTCAGAGATCGCTGAATTTTTACTTCTCGGCTTTTTAAGTTTATTTTATTTTCTTGCTCACCTTTTATGTTTTTTTTATAAAATTTTAATGCTTTTCGGTGAAGTTTTTTTCTTTAAATATCTGAAATTTAATCTATCTAGAAAAAAATAAAAACGTTTCCGTCTTGAGAACGTGTAACTACTCTTTTTTAACAAAGAGAAAATGAATATTAAACGTACGTCGTAGTACTTCGATCCATTTTTGACTTCTTCATTCGCCGTTTTGTTATTGAAAGAGCGCAATCCGTGCCTCGCGTACATGTTCAGCGACAAACTCGTGAAGAAGTTGTCCTTGACGAGTTTGATCGATTCGATTCGCAGACAAGAGTCCAGTTTCTCTTCTCTCAGCCATTTAAAAACGGCCGTCAGACTCTCCTGCAATGTTTGAACATTGAGTGTGCGAGGAGAGGACACGTAGCGGCGCGGGGGCGCTCTGCAACTCGTCGGCCCTGTGGCCTAATGGATAAGGCGTCTGACTTCTAATCAGAAGATTGCAGGTTCGAGCCCTGCCTGGGTCAAATATTTTTGCAATTTTTGCAAACCTTTCTCGTTTCGTTTCTTACCTTTTTGCGCTGTTCTTCGGACTTTGGAGCTATTTTATACTTGGTGTACAGGGTTTCTTCTCCACTAACGTCGACCATGCAAGTGCAGAAATTTATTGGAATATAAGCATCACGGCATGTTCTGAATTGAGAATCAGCCATATTTTCCGGAGGAGTGTGTCAGAAACTGACCTATGAGCTGGAATTTTATCAAACAGACTGATTCCGCGGCTTTTATCTCCTTTAAAAGAGTTTATGACGTCACCCAATCTCATCAAAGCAACATCTTTCAGCATCTGATGCAAGTCGAAGTTACTGGTGAGTTTGTACTTGTTGCTGATAAAATTCCTGTACTCTCTCGGGTATTTTTCCTGAAATTTACTGTTGAAGAAATTAAAAAGAAGGAAGAAAGACCTTGAAGCCAGTGGGGAGTCGAATCGCCAAAAGAGGCATGCGTTCCTCGATTCGACCCGTGTAACTCAACTGAACAAGTCCGATTCGGTTGCCATGGTCACCCATTATGACGGAAACCGCATTATCCAAACCTCCTAAAAACCAGTCAACTTCAAAAGAACTCGGGAAAAAGTCACAACAATTTCGTATTGTTTTAGTTTCTCTGGATGTCGCAAAGTTTCGATTCACGGATTATTAATCATGAAAATATCGAATTCAGTACAGTTCAGCTGCCGAAAATGACATGTTACTCATTCCAGAAAACTTCAAAATTCACCGTTCAAAGCCAGTTGAGCCAGATGATTGCTCAAACTCTCATCGAGAGTTTCCAGGACAAGTCCAGCTTCATGAGTCAAACTGAAAAAAAAAACAAGTTAGAAAAATCAAGAAGAAGTATGGAAAGTAAAAATTAACGTCGTGACAAAAGTGAATCCAAAGTGACAAATGTTTTGGTAACGATGAGCAAATTTCCTCCAGAGTCCGACGAATTCCTTTTGCAGCTGGGTTCCATCTTTGCAAACGCTGTAGAGCCACTTCTAAAGTTCGTGAATTTGTCATTCTCACAATCCAAAATTCACTCTGGCCAGATACTGAGTTAAATTCAGAATATATATCTAGAAACCAAAAAAAACTATCAAGTTCATTTGAAAGATCCTTGAAATGATTGAATAACTTATTTCCTGTCAGTTTCAAATTTGACTGTTCTAATGGGACGAGTTTCAAAAATTGTATAAATCATAGATCTGGATTTCTCTTCCCGACCTCATAAACAGCGAGGTAGTAGGCGCGATAGTAGTGGTCGGCAGGCGGTTCGGTGAATCCCGGTTGGAATTCTTTGGCCGGGTAATTGAAAAGGCCCAAGTGCTTCATCGAAATATCCTCGTTCAACATACTGCGACAGCCAAACTCTGAACAATACTCTGAAATTGTCCAAATCCATTAGTCTCCTACTTTCGCTCATCATTTTCCAGAGAAAGTTGAGGTTTGTGGGATCGAGCTTCTTGTTGGTCGGCAAAATCCAGTTCTCGTTGATGTCGTCGGCGTTGTTGAGCATCGGCTCTTTCAGAGCTTCCGGAACGTCGCCGATCAGAACAGGGGCCAGGTTCACCATCGAGTTGTCGCCTACCTGGGGACAAAAATCGTTCCGTTTCTCCATGCAATTCTTCACCTTGTTGTATCCGTAGAAAAAGTGATACCCAAGTTTGTTCATTGTCTCAACAGTTCTCGGCAGGTGTCGGAAAAACATTGTTCTCGACGTCGAGTCGAAACTATGAAACAGAAGCAGAAAGTTTTGAAACAATAGGATTCTGCTTTTCGTGCGGATACTCTTCAACTGTGATGATTATGATAAAAGGTTTTGGAGTTCGGTTTTTTGTTATTAAGACTTTTCCTGATTTGAAGAGCCATCACAAACCCAAGAATGTCAATGGAAATCCGCTGAGAAGGCGTCGATTTTTGGCCGATCAATCTTCTCGCATACTTATCAAAAGATGGATGATCGCTTACTTTTGTGACCTGGACATTCAGTTCGAAAGAGTTCTGAATACTATCAAACCGTGTTTCGAGGCTTGCCCAAATCCCGCATTCCGGCAAAAGGTTTCTCCCAAATCGTGTCATTTTTGGCCCCTTTGCTCGTGTTGAAGCATCTGATATAGAAGGCGTCGGCGTTCACCCAAAGCCGCTCGTTTTCCGGCGCCTCAACTTGTTTTTTCATTTGTTTTCAGACACGCTTACGAGGCTTATTCTCCTGATTTGTTTTCAGCTGTTTTTTCTTCAAAACTAACATTTATAGTGGCGACGATGTTGATCGTGTCTTTGCCACTGTTGGTGCTCTTGTTGCGAATTCCACCTTCGATAATGAAAACCTCAAAATGAAGGTTGTCAATGTTCGATGGAAAATAAAAGTTCAAAAAACCTTTTCTGCTTTCTTTCTCTTCACTCCGATAAGTTTTTTTTGATTTTATACTATTTCTGTTTAATTGGACTAATAAGAATTCAAAAAATGTTTCCCTAGATATTTCCAGGTTCTTACTTGAATTCTGATTCCGATAACCTCATCGCGACCGCAACAAGTCCTTCATTAAAACTGTGCCCATCTCCTTTTAAGTCAAAAATTGGCTATACCTTGCATTGGACGTTGCGCGTGTAGTTGGGAAAGTGGGCGAAGTGGGGATGGACGTAAATGTAGCCCTCAGAATCCATCGTCGCCAGGTCGTAGGTCTCGATAGGACATTTCAGCTGTCGCATTCGTTCCGAGACCGCCGGATACTGTAGGAAACGAAACATTTTATAGAGTCTTATGAGCTTTTAAGTTAGGTCGATCCAGGGTGATGTTTGGAAGTTCTATAACCATGTACAATAAATTGAACATCCATAGTTTGAAATTCTGATTACGAAGAAATTATTGTTGCATACATGAGTTTGTGTTAACCCCGGGGTTTGAAATACCAAAAGTTGAATTTCTCGGAATTAGAGACTGTATACGTTATTTGTTCCGGCCTTCAAAGAAGTTTTAAACCATGACACTCACAAACCTAGCAAACTAAAATCTCTAATAGCTCAGTATTCAGGAAGATTACAACGATCTACTTTTTGCAGTTCGAAATTTGGCTACGCATCCCCCTTCGTAAACAGTGTCTACTAGACACGCCTTCGCACTGATTTTACAAATTTTAAAATCACTCACGTAGATATCTTTTTGATAGTGATTGGGCAAAGGAAATTTGCAGTGGTTGTCGAAAGGATGGTGCGGAAGCAGAGGTTCGTTCTCCACGTCTTCTTCATCGCTTTGCCCAACGCCTATGACTCTTTCCTCAGGCCGACAAGGGGACGTCGTCGTCGAGTTGAAGTTGGTAGCTATTCCGAAAATCGTCACGAATGCTACGAGTGTCTGAATCATGCACTCGATAGTTTTATTCAACAAATTCAATAGTTATTAGAACTGACAAGAATGAAGCGGGCGGCGTGAGAGCGTCTGGAGGCGGCCAACGGCATCGGAATGATCAGCCGATTTTTCGAGGCTTTTCCCATGTTTCAGTCGTGTCCCGCCTGCACAAACTTTGTTGCAAAAACGTTTTGCAATGAGTTGCAACCAATTTTGGATGGATACAGTTGTTTGCAGAGGAGAACTCCCAGAGTTCAAGCGCGGGAAAAGGAATTAATTGGTAATTCTAACAGTGAGGAGTTGAAAAGAGTCATTAGCCGAGTCTCTTTGGAAAAAACTAGGATCACTACGAAATCAGAAAAAAATTTCTGAAAAATAGAAATGAAAAACGTTAAAAAAGACCGACTTACAAATGTTTTTCCAAGAAAAACAGAATCAAACCTTTAGTCGTTAAAATAAACAAAAAAATTGTTTTTAAAATAACCTATAACAAAGCGGAGCCTTCGCAAAGAGTTCCCTCGGAAAAAAAAAATTGATAAATGAAGCTTGACACCTGAGATCAACCTCTGGTGAGCTCAAAGAGCACAGAAAAAAAACAGAACACAAAGAAGAAAGCCATCAAAATTGATGAAACGGAATGAAGTGAGGACGACAAATGTGAGAGGGTCGACAATTAAAACCTAACGTCTTTTTTTCATCCGAAGCGACGAAAATAAGACGTCTCCGTTCATAGTACCACAATTACCTTCGCTCGAAAGCTCTGCTTTTTCGCAAGGAATTTGAAACTAAATTCTTAAAGAAATTTAGAAATCAAATATTTTCAGCTGCGTGGGCCATAATCGCGCACACATCTTCGCCCTTCTGACAGGTTTGTGGAGCCCAGTTGTGCATTTCCATCTAACCATTTGAATCTAAACTTTCTCCAATCCTTTTTGTACTAAAATCAATTGATCAAGTACAATTAAAAATGAAATTTTTTATTTTAATTTGATTAAAAATCAAAAGGCACCGGGAAAAGGAGCAATGCGAGTAAATGTGACCGTCATATTTGTTAAAAGCCCGTGGAATAGAAAGAATACTCCTAAATTATTTTCAAAAAACGAGGTTGACGATCGATAATGACTATAAAGCACAAAGACCCGATAAAAGAGAAAAATATTGCAATCGTGAAACCCATGAATTGAATTCTTAAAAAAAGCTATTGACATAATTTCGAGTAGGCTTGGGAAACGCAATGGAAAGATGTAATGTAACAATCGGAAGAGATATGGAACAACGACCGAAAAAGGACCTATGTGCTGAAGGTGGCACGGACCTTCTCAGTCCACTCATCGAGGCAGGCAGAACACTCGGAGGGCGTGCCGACCATCGCCGGTTCGGCATGGGCGCATTGCGAGAAAACGCGGATCTTCGACGAGACATTCAGGGCTGACGACGGCAACTGAACAGCAATCTTTAAATGTATCCGAAAAAAGCATAGGTGTGTTCTTTTTTTCAATTTCTTCCCTGAGAATTGTTCTGTTCAAGAGTTCTTCCATAAGATTTCATTTCTCTTATTCAGATATCGTGGCTTTAAGATCCAAAATCAGACTATGCAGTCAGGTTCTCCTAGGAAAAACTATATTAGTAACAATTTATATATTTGTGACTATATTTGTGAAAATGTATTTTATTTCATTTCGTTTTACTTCTGTACACGCAACCATAACCAAAAATTGACTTGAACTAAAGGAAAACCAATGTAAAACTTTTTCTTTTTTGAGAAAGTAAGAATTTCAAACGATCCGGTTGAAGATTAACTTCCATAAAAAGACACGTTTTTGGCAACTATATTTGTTTCGCTGTTCATTACAGAAAAACTCTTTCAAATCTTGGTTTCATTCTATGAATTTTCTTCCTTTTATAGAAAAATAAGAAAAAAAATTTTTAGAAGCTCTGGCCAGTTTCTAGAAATCTTACCGAGACGCAGTTGACCGGCTTGGCAGGAGCGGTGAAGGCGTCAAGCATGGCGATTTTCTCATCGACGTTCAACGTCGCCTGTGCGTCCTCGTCATCCCAGACCTTCAAACTCAGCTGCTTGCATTCAGAAGAAGCTGTTGTTCTCACCAAAGGCCACAGTTGGGCGATCTGACGTCCGCGTCGCATCGATTCAGCCATCGGAACCTCGCGAAAAGCTGCCGCCAGAACTCGACGCGTTTGCACGTCTTCGTGGTTGGCGACGACTTCCCAAACCAAAGAGCTCAGAGCGCGAAGCGACTCTTTGTCCTTCAAACCCACTTCAAGGTAAGAATTCTTCAAATTTACCCATTTTAACACACTTTAAGGTAAGAATTCTTCAAATTTCAAGTAAAAACCATGAAAGATTTGAATTTTGATCTACTTTTTAAATAAAACTACCTTTGAATGAGCTATCGCTTACTTACTCTTCAAACTTTTATTCAAAATATTCGCTCCAAGTTCTAACTTCGGAGTAGTTTCCCTTCATTCAACTCATATTTTACATTGAGAACTGAAAATGAGTTACACGGATCGTTAGAAACCTTTTCCGAGAAAAAAGCTTCTCCGAGATGAGAAAAAAAAAACGAACAGCGTTCTCGTCCTTCTTCAACCAAGATATGACGCGAATAGCGCGCAAGACGTCGCCAGCCATCAGGTGAACAAACGCAGTCGCTGTGCAAAGAGGTCCGTTTTTCGACTCGTCGTAGACCTCGTTTTCGCTCATTTGACTAGCTTCAAAACCTTTCAGGGACTCTCCATTGCTCAACGCGTACAGATGACGTGACACAGCCTCAAAACCGAATATGAAACAGTAGTTCTGATTTTTGATAAACCTGTGCGGTGTGAACGTCGCAGGCGCGAATTTTGCGAAGGAGCTCGTCCTCGTCTAGAATCGACGTGCGGAGGTCGCCTGACTGAGTGCCGCGGATCAAGATGTTCGGAACGAGGGTTGGAGAAGTCACGAAAGATGTGTCGTCAGGCAGAGGAATCGTTCTTCGGTTAGCGCCGTCCTTCAATCCGCCAAATATTTTATTCGAACATTCAAACTTTCCTCTTTCTCAGATTTGTCAATATGTTTTGAAAAAAACTTGTCTTTTCATGAGGATCAAGATCAAAAAGTTGTTCAAAAGCTGAATAAATGCTGATTTTTTTGAAAAATCGCAGTCTGTTAAAAGAAATGTGTAGTCAGATGAAGAAAAAAACTGACGAGCACAGTTTTTGATTTACTAACAGACAAACATATTCTTCAAAGTTGGTTTTTCGCGTTTATAATTTTCTTTAATTGACATCAATTAGACATTTTTGAAGAATTTTCAGAAATCTCTGGCGTTCTGAGTAAAACTACAGCACTACGCTTTAGGACATATTTTTTCAAGTTTCATCTTTTTATACTTTTTCATGCCTTTCAAATCAGAGAGCGAACACGAAAGTTTTCATAGAAATATGACTGAGCCAATGTTCATTATCAAAAGAGATTTGATCATCAATCAGTCAATCCTATTTTTTTCAAAGCGAACTAGGAACCTTGGCTTGAAGAAGAATCCGTCGCGGACTGAAACCAGCCGGTTTTTCAGTAACGACAGCACACTGTGCAAAGTCGTTCCGGCCCCAGGAGTAGAGTTGTCCGTCGGCGGTGGCAGCAAACGTGTGATTGTTACCTGAGAACGCTGTTTCTTTCTCTCAACTGCGAGAACACTCTGACCACATCTAACAAGGCTCCAGCGGGTATTTTTCGGTTCGAAAAGCTGATGAGGCTCTCGCCGTTCCATTTTGCTCCCGTGGCCGAGCTGGTGCTCCAAAGCCTTGCCCCAAGTGTACACACTTCCTTTGTCTGTCAAGAGAGCCGAGTGAGAAAGACCGGCAGAAAGTTGAGTGATCTGAATTCATACCAATCTCCCCTCTACTTTCAGTTTTATTTCTGCAGATGTTATACACTCCGGTTATCTTTCACGAACCTTCCCATCAAGGAAGTGTTTGATCTCTCGCAGGCCCAAATCATTCCTGGGAACAGTCATCGGCAAGTCCAAAGGCTGTCTCTGAAGAAAAAGAAACATTTTCGAAAAAACGACAAGAAACTAACGGAAGGCGAAGAAAAAGCGTCTTCCTTTTCGTTCTCGTCGTTCAGAGCCTTCTGTTGAGCATTTTTCAGCCGCCTCATCACAAACATTCGCATTTTCAGCTCTTGTGGATTTCGACCCCATTCAAAAATTTTGCCGTCCTCCGTCACACAGAGGGAATGATAGTAGTTCGTCGCGATTTGAGTAACCTAAACTTTTCATGCTAAGGAGGCGAAAAATTACAACCAAGAAAGGCATATCTCAAGTGACATCCCCCACGTTCTTTTTGCAGAACTTTTCAAAAGACACGTCACAAATCAAGCCGGTAAAGGAAACGATGTCAATACTATATGAACAAAAAATCTTTTATTGTATTTACCTTGGAATCACCATCAATGCAAAGCTTCTGGAAGCTGTACGTCTTGCGGATGTCGGTGTCGACGCCCATCTGTCCATAACTTCCGCCGCCACAAACAAAAACTTCCCCGTCCTCCGTCAGAGCCACCGTGTGGACTCGACCACACGCCACGCTGACTACTTTTCTGGAAATCTAGGATTACCAAAACGTTTGGACCGAAGAAACGGACGAGTCGAAGAAGTCGATTCTGACAGGTGCTGAGGAGTCGCAAGTTGATCGGCCGCCCATTCCAAGCTGTCCATAGAGACCCCAGCCCCACATCCACAAAGACCCGCTGTCGCAAATGAACGCCGAATGAAATTGGCCGGCGCTCATGCTCACCACCTTCCCCCACTTCTTGTTGCTGTCGATCAGCTGCAAAAGTGTGTTTTTCACACAGGAATCGAGAAGAGTTTTCCATTAATCTAAAGTTTTTGGGAAAGTAACTATACTTGAAAAAGAAAAACTTATTTTCAAAGCCAAAGCGGTCTATCTTCAAAAAATGAGGAGAAGAATCAAACCTGAAGGTCAGAAAGACGGAAACAGTGACCAACGCCGCACTGACCGAAGCGATTTCCACCCCAGGCATATAGCTGGCCAGACATGGTCAGGACAAGGACGTGTTCGGCGCCGCAAGAAACAGCTCGAGGCCTACCTCCAGAGCATTTCAACTCTCTCGGTAAAGCCTGAGAACGAACGCGTTTATTTCAGATTGAATATCTGATCACCGATTCAGGAAGCAAATTGACGCTGGAACTTGTTGGCGTAGAAGCATTCGAGCTGGTACTCTCACTAGACGTCGACGGCTTGATTCGTCGGATCTTAGGCGAAAGATCTGAAGTTCAAGTCTATAGAGGTCGAAGGCTGATGACCAACGGGAAGGGTCGACGGTTTTCTGCTGAAGATTGCTGAAATCGCCCCAGAGCATGACGCGGTCATCGAGGGAAATCGCCGCGCCGCAGTTGAGACCAGCGCTTAATGGGTTCGAGGTAGGCAATGACTTGGACTAAAAATCCGGGACTTTTGGAGAAACTCAAGAAAAAGCTGTTCACCTCCAGTTGGCGGCATTCGGCCAGAATATACATAGCGGAGACCAAATATAGGATGGAGCACGGTCGAGGGAATCTGAAAAGTGTGATATGCCCAATATATTCATTTTTTCTAAAGTACTTCTCCGAATACTGCTTGGCGATCCGGAGACAAGATTCGTGGTATGCAGGAGAGGAAATGTCCCGCTGCCATGCCGAAAGAAGAGCGCAGAGTCGGGCCGCTTCGCCCTCTTCCAAAGGCGTCCAGTCCAGTTGGCAAATAGTGGTCAAAATCTAGAAATATTATTCGATAAAAAAATCTCCCACTACTTGCACAAGCTCTTTAAAACTTCTCAAGTTAGAAACCACTTTTTTTTATCCAAATCAAATGAATAGTTTTTCAGAAAAAGAATAATAAAACTGGTTATATACCTGAAAAAGGGTTACTGAACATATTTTTGAGGTTTGTCGCAAAAACAGAGAAATTGAGAATTTATTCACTTTATTTTTGAATTGGCTCTAAAAAGCTGCACAAGGCTGGACCTCGTTGAAAAATGAAATGACCGCACCTGGAGCCGATCCGCGAAATCGGCGTCTTTCCACAACCGATGGCCTTCTTTGATGACGTAACGAAGCAGAACCGCGGCGATGGATCCGCGATCCTGCTGGCGAGCCGCCAAAGTCGTCCCGCTTCTCCACAGACCGACTCGGATGCAACTGTCCGCGCCATTGGAGACTTCCTCGTACTTGGCGAGAAAGTTGCTGAAAAAACTTTCGTTTTTTAAAAAAAAAAAATTTTACCATCAACGTCAAAAAATCTAGCTTCCATCTACATAGAACCTCATGCCAACCTCAAATGCACATCCGCCACACGTCGTTCTTCGAAACTTGAGCCCGAAGCTTTCTTCACAAAAAGATCCACGACCTTTGGTAACATTTTGGCGCTTTTAGCCCTTCCCTCTTTCTCGATAGTGGACAGAACCTAAAATAATTTGTTCCTCCAGGATTTTTCAGTACAAGACCTCTGGAAGCAACTGCTCTTCAAGTCCATTTTGTTCGAAAATTTCGACAAGCTGCGTCATACTCGTCTGAAACACGGAAATTAATGAGAATGGGACCATATTTGAAGAACATTGATAGCTTTAGAGATGGTGACGAGGCGAGAAATATCCTGTCGCGAAAGTCGCCGTCTGCGCCTCGAGTCCAAAATGGTAGAAATTAGAGATCTCTGAAAGAAAATACAATCCAATATTTATTAGAAAATTCATATTTAGATGCAGATTCCTCCTTTTTAAAACGTTCGAATACTATGTAAAAATGTGATATTGAACTATTTTTTGTTTTGAATGAAGATTGACCTGAAGATCGGCCGCGTCGATGCGACATGCGTCGGCCACCTCGACAATGTACTTGGAGGAGAACGGCGCCAAACGGAATAGGAATTCGGCGGCCACCGACTTGAGCGAGCTGAAATCGATCTAATATATGAGAGCGAAAATAAAGTTCTGGGAGACGATATCATCAGGCCTGACGAGGTAAATCACAACTGACAGGATGAATGAGGAAAAAGACGGAGGGCGAAAAGAAAGAGCCGAAAAGCCTAGGAGAGAGCTTGAGCTGCCAGCAAACAGCTGTTCGTCTGCTCGCCGCCGTTCTCGAGCTCCACACAGATCTCACTTGCCCCAGAGGGTCACCGCATTAGATAGATTGACTCTCGCACTTTCAAAAAGTACGCCAACATGGCTAGTCTTTTTTTGAAATATTCAACAGCAATAAAGTGCAGAATGGCGCTGAGCTTTTCACAGTATATCGCAAGAAGGGTGTTTCGAGATTATTTTCATCTTGATGATCTTTGTTCTCTTATTTTTCTTCAACCTGAGAGTCAGAGGTTAAGATTCAAACCAATCCATGTGCGATTGTCGGATTCCAAGTTGGAGCAAACAAATTATGGGAAGAAAATCTTCTGTAACTTGGAGAATTTAGACTGGGGAAAGTTTTTGTCATCAATATCAAAACATCAAAGTTAAGTGAGAGTTATGCTACAAAAAATTCAATTTTTTGAGGGCCTCACAATTAAAACGGAGCTTGATGGACGTCAATTTGCATTCCACATGTGATAGGAAACAAGTCAATCTGCCATTAAAAAAACAACATAAACGTTATCAAAGAAAAAATATGTAACCATGAGATTGTAGGCGAATCTTGTAAATTATTTTCCTACAAAATCAGCTGATGAGATATGTAAAATGACACACGAGACATTGGGGAATCGAGTGAACGGCTTAAGCGTGCGAAGGGTCGCGTAAACAAACAAAGCGCAAGAAAATGATGCCTACTCGATCTTCATCGTGTCCAGTGGTAGAAGACGATCGTCTCATAAAAATATCTCCTCGCACTTCCTTCCACATTTCCGCTACTCATAAAAACTTCTCGCATGTCATTGATGCGCAAAGTCGCAGCTTCGTTTCAGAGGATTATGCTTCTCAAAGCGGATTCGTCCTAGTGAGCGATTCCCAGCAAATTAGTGAAAAGTAAACGCTCACCGCTTTCAAATCAGAATAACTCGAAGAAAGTAGCTGATCATAAGTCTGGACATATTATTTCGATTTCTAACGCGGAAATTTTCTAAAATAAAAAACAACAAATCATATTCAAAAAATCTGACTCTATACGGATAATAAGTCTAGTCGGAAGCTCAAATTCTTTTAAGTTCTCTAGAGTCCACATTACTTCAAAATTTCGTTCTTTTTAATTGCCCGCGAAAAATCCTTCACAGCTATCATCGAATTCATATAAACTATGAAAAAAAGCTTTGAGTTTTACTTTTCGTTTTTTTTTTCTTTTCAAATCAGTACTATTTTCCTAGAAAATCAAATTTTTTTCTGTGATTTAAAACAGCAGTGACCAAACTAATTTCGTGAAGTCAATTTTGCAAAGGACGAAATGATTCGCTGCTTGCCCCCAAACGACCCAACATATCGGTCAATCAAATACACCGACAACTGGCCTCTTCGAAAAAATGGGATCGGCAAAAGGTCCAACTAAAGTAACTTTGCAGGAGAAAAGAGAGAAAAAAGAAAACAAGAGAGAGGAAGTTTCGAGTTACTGCAAAACGAAAAGACCAATGAACAGCTGTGATAATGAGAAAAAAGAATATTTCGGACCTGATAGAGTTATGTTGGATGCGAACGAGGCCGCGCTCGTTGACGAGGAAAACGCCTGGGAGACGACCTGAACGTCTCGGCATCGTCACCATTCCCAGAGGCCGCCACTCGGCCGAGTTCTTCACCAGCGAGTACTCCAGTCGCGCGTTCGCCACCTTCAATAATGAATCCTCGATTTTTGTCTTGGAGTTGTACTGAAGACGTTGAGTTATATTTAGAAAAGAGGTTTGAGATGACATTGACTTCTTGTGAAGGGTTTTCTGTGAGTCTAATGATAAGTCGGAGTCGCACATAAGCGTGTTCTTCTGGAGGAGAATGGATTCGAATATCCAAGCTTCTTTTTTATCAGTAGCTCTTTCAATAACCGAACATTTCAAAAAGGAGGAACGAACCCCCATGTGCACAGAACTTCTGAGTTGTCCGTCGTTCCCAATTGCAAAAATAACGTTGTCTGTGAAGTGCACCATCCAGGTGTTGTCTGGAACCTGAAACAGAAAATTAATCTTCCACAGTTCGATGAAAACTAACTTTGTATCTCTTTTTGGTCGAGTGAGCGACGCTATTGATCGTGCTGTAAATTTCAACGGTCCACGAGTCCGAATCCAACGCCAAAACGTTTTTATCAAAAGAGAAAAGTTGGCAAGTCACAGGTTCCAACTGAAATAAAACTCCGGCACTATAAAGAATAAAAATCTAAATGAAAATCAATACAACTGAACTAAGAGCTTTCCATGAAACAGCTCACAAGAAATTTCTACTGTCAGACTTCATAAATTGTTGGAAATTTGCTCAGAAGCTCATTGGATCACACTATAATCAAAAAGGGTTTGTCCTAACTTTCCTTTGACGGAATGACACCTAAAAGCTTCTGACAAGTAACTGTTCTTCTAGATCTTATTACGGTGCAAACTTTGAGAAATCACGTTTTCAGAAAATAATGAAAATCAGCAAAATTTCTTGGTCAAAGCCAAATACTTTAAAAAAAAAACGAGAAATTTTCCAGCGATTCTCAAAGCCTGACTTAGTGAAGTTTCTTTTTTAAAGGCATAGGGGGCAGTAAAAAACGGTGTTTCAGTTCAAAGCAGTAATTTATAGAGCTTTTCATCGCAAATCGAACGGTGAACTTGAAAACGTACAGAAGTTCCTTCACTTTCGCTTTTTTTCTTCGTTTCTTTTAGTTTTCAATTTTTTCTGTTGTCACCAAAGTTCTTTTCGTCACAAAAGCTTTCTATTCATGTATAATTTGCAAATTTTGATCGCAAAAAAGCGTTTCTGGTGAAAAATGATGATTTTACACAGGTTTCGATTGGGATAGCGATTATTTGTGTTTTCTTTATTATCAATGTATGTTTTCTGTTTTCTTAATCGATTTTTCAGAGAAAAAACCCTTAATTTGAAGAGATATCCGGTTATTTCTTATAAATTGCGAGTCTAATGAGACGTCTGCAACATCGCGTGCACGGCTACTGTAAACAGTTGTCCGCAGGCCGATCCAAAGCTTTTTTCTAAATTGAAGGCGGGAAAGTAAAATCGCGTTTTTCTTCTAAAATTGTCACATCTGTAATTTTTTTGAGTACACCATTCGATTCGCAAAGAAAAACTATATAAGATACTGCTTTCACCTGAAACCCCATTTTTTACAGCCCCTATGCCTTTAATCAAGATATCGATTTCACAAGCTCCACATTTCCATTCGTACTTCACAACTACACGGAAAGCAAACAGCCAAGAGGTTGTATAAGAATTGTCTTATTTTGAAAGAGAAGCCGTCAAACTTTCAAAGCCGTTCTCATTGTGAATCATAGAAGAAAAAAGATGAGTTAAGCGTTCAAAAAATGACATTTTCAAAACTATCAATCAACGAAGTAAGATTATCTGAATCTTATGGAAGAAACAAAATTTTTAGAAGAGAGATCTTTTTTTGATAGCTAGAGAAGTAGGAAGAATAAAAAGCTAATAAAAAGGAAACCATAGAGCAGAATGCTTCACTCACCTCGCATTGATCTCGAAATAAACCACCCAATATCTTGAAATATTATTAATTTGAGAAAACTTTGAGTGATTTCAATTCTATAACGACATCGAAAAGAAACCTGCTGAAGATCGGCCGGAACGCAAGTTGTCAAGATTTCAGACATTCCGCGGCCGTTGCGTTCGAGCGGGATGATCCACTGCGCTCCAGTGAAGCCAGTTACCTAGAGTCGGGCTTTTCATCGAGTAGTTAGATACATTAAGTACGAGCAATTCGATGGAGTTTTCATCGGTGAACATTTCCATGCGATGGACACTCTGAGGCGCTCTCAACTCTGCCGTGCAGCGTCTGAGGAGAAGATCCACGATGAGGATGTTACCAGCCTAAAACTAGTCTCAATGAGTTTTTCGCAGGTGAGTACAATGGGGATTGCTGAAATTATAAATGGTGGGAGTTTATTTAGAAGAATGAACACTCTAAAAAAAATCTGTAGGTGTTTCGATTAATGAGTCAAAAATTTTATTCGGTGGTACAGGAAAAAGACCAGAGAAAATTCAAACGGCGACTTTTCCGATTTTTTCATATCACTAGGGAACTTTCCGACAAATCCTTTTCCGGTTTTTTTTTTCGATAATCTCTTCGTTAGGAATCTTCCTATATAAAGCAGGTAATTTATTCATGATATTTTTTTACAAACCGAAAAAAATAAGGGAAAAAGTCGTAAAGGAATTCGCCGCAAAGTTCCCTAGCGATATGAAATAATCGGAAAAGTCGCCGTTCAAAATTTCGCTGGTTTTGTTTTCATACCGCCGTTTATCCTTCCAGATAATCCTGAATAAGTTTCCGACAACGCTGATAATCACCTTGTTGGAAACGACAGCAAGTGTTCTCGGAGGGAAGTTCGATACGAAGCACTGGATTGAAGTCGGAAAGGCTAGACAAGGGTCCACCGAAGGAAGGGCGAGGTCGATCACTGACGTCGAGCTCCACGAGGAGCCGCCCCATGTCACGTCCTGCAGATCCTGTTTTACTTCCACAATTGAGCCCTTTTTAAATTTGTTCGAATCTCTTCAAAAAACCATAAACTTAACGTGTAAACTTTTTTCTAGTGACAAAACTTTCCTTCCTTTTTCAAAAAATAAGTGTTTCCGAATTTATACGATTCTTCTCTCCACAACTCCCACCATCGAGTCTAAACCAAGTTTGACTTCAATTTGATGATAAAACATAGGTCTCCAGTAATCTAGAATAATCATGTTTTTCGGTAGAGAAATTCCTCCAATTTTTCTAAATTTCGAATCTTTAAAAGAAGTTCTAGTGGCCAAATGAGCACGATCAAACAAGAGCCGAAAAATCCACCCTCAAGTGGTTGGGGAAGTCAATAAAAATCCTCCGTGTTTTTCTTTGTTTCTGTTAACATGTGACTTCGTAGAGACAACAACTACAAGACGCATGATGGATTATTGACGCGCAAAAAAAGAAAAAATCCCTGCAAATCTACCGACATGTATAAAGCAGAAAAAGAAGGAAGCTCGTAATTCATTTGAGCCGCAACGCGACACCTGCTCGATTCATTTTTTTTTTCTTGAGGCTGGAAGTGACATCTAATAGGCTAACCCAACTCAATGAGCACTTATTTTGGTTCCCCCGTTCATCAAAAGGCCTGTGGAACTTACTATCAGCGTTTTGATGGGCATGACAAGTAGGTTGCCGTCGGAAAGGCCGAATAACACGAAAGCCGCTTGACTTCCTTCAAAAATATTATTTCGTCCTTGACACAACTCCAAAGTCAGTGCAAGTCCAGAGCAGCCAAAAGACAGCGAATACGCGGAAAAACAAACCTATACAAACTCTGACGGGATCTGCGCCGGTGGAACAAGCGGCTCTAACGTTGACCACGCATTTCCTCGGCTTTTCCCTCCCATTTTCGAAGTAAGATTGTGCCTCACCTTAAATTGTGCAAAAATGAGACATTGAAAAAAAAAAATGGAAAGAACCGTTTGAAGTGAGTAAGATGATTAAAACGAAGTTGTCGTCGCAAAATGAAGAATAGTCTATTATTGAATCATCTGGACTCAGTTCGTCGAGTTCCGTACCGCATGTGTACGGATTCTCCATCATGAGCCTACGCGCTGAAAAGCATAGAAGTTTTGAAAAAAATACAAAAAAAAAACAGATAAATATAAAGAAGCATAAAAGCTAATAACGAATTATGAAATAGGAAAAAAACACGTAGATTTTCGTGAACTATAATTTTGCTTTTTTAACTGTAAAAACGTTTAAAGCTAAATTGAAACTGCTAGAATTCTAATAAGTCCAAGAATCGTGTGCTCAAAAAGATTTTGGGACTTCTCATTTGAAACTGAGCTTGTACGATGTTCTTGAGGTTGGAAAAAAAAGGAATGAGTTCTTATGAACATTTTCAGTATGTGAGCTTCATTTAATATATCCGACAGATGAAATTTTTCATATGATAACAGTTGAGTACTTTGCCAGTATCCATAAATTGAAATTTGAACTAATTATTTGAATTCGATTTAAAATAAATTCACTAAGAATAACTGACGAGATAAACGCGAGCTCGGTGGCGGTACATTGACTAACTCGCAAAAATTTCGCTTTTTTCTAGGCGCGATCCCGCATTTCTCTCGGCGCGACCTCGCATTTTTCTCGGCGCCATCTCGCATTTATCTTGCATTTCGGAAATTTTCAAATTGCGAGAGAAATGCGAGCTCGCGCCTAGAAAAGTGCGAGCTGGCGCCCAGAAAAATGCGAGACCGGCGCGAGAAAAAAAGCGAGATGTTTGCGAGCTCGTCAATGTACCGCCAGTGTCTCGCGTTTATCTCGGCAGTTATTCTTAGTGTTAAAGAAAAAACTACTGACAACATGCCTTTACTACCGCGCAACCTATGAACAGACCCGCGGCGCGGAAACTCCGGAGAGGAGTACGAGGGAAGACGAATCGTTGGTGGAAGACGCCGTGGAAACCCTACGACTTTCTGGCGGCGTCAGAACCAAACGCGTCATGTCGACAAGGAAATATACTGTTGTTAAGCGGGATGAGTCTCAAAGCTCTCAGACGGATCTGCACCACCTATCGCACATCAGACTCCGCCTACGTTCACCCCGACGCGTTTCTCGCTTTGATTTATCAACGCTGGTAAACGACCGCCAGCTTTATCATGTTGTCGCATGAAAATCGAGCGCTCGTCATGTTGAAACATAATAGTAAACAGCTGTAGGAATAAACAAATTCCAAATAAAAACCGGATTTTAGCACTTTATGTTTAGAAGGATTAATGATGAAAACTTAGGTTATTAACCTCAATCCCCTTCTAACAAGGAGTTATTACTCAGAAACTATGCCTTTAATACTACTTCCTGGATGTATTCATTTTACAGCGATATTATAGGATTGCAAAAATTTTAAATGAAATCAAAACGACATTAAACTGATAGGTAGCGACTTAATCATGACGATAAATCAAAAAAGACAAAAAAAACCTTTAAAAGGTCCAGATAAAGAAAACATAAAATGAAACAATGGAGAAAGAAAATATTCGATCCATTGTTTTGGCGCCTGGATTTCAGATTCGCTCCATTGCCAATTAAAAAGAAGCCCCTTAGGGGATGAAGAAGCTCTGCAGTGGCCGCTCGGCGGATTTTTTTAAATTTTCAATTACAATGTTATATCTTTTTCATTCTCGTTAATTTGTCTTCTTCACTTTGCCTCGTTCGAAATCATTTCGACGAAAGAAAATGATCTCGGGCTCTCAAAATTTGTCGTTGTCTTTTTCACTCTGGCAACCATTTCTGTTTCTTCAAAAACGATTTGAACAAAGAATTTCAGAATGTTTTCTACTCCAAACTCTGGAAGGACATCAACTCTGGATAGAAGCGAATTAGGAGCTAATGGAGTACCAAGGTTAGAAATTTTCAAATATAAGTTTAAAAATTAAAAAAACTATTTTGAGAATTCCGGGAACTACACAAGAGCAATCCACTCCGTCTTTCTTATTTGGCCCAAAGCGACGTTCAACAATTGTAGGAAACTCGAATTGTTAGTTCACGATGTCGTTAATTCACATCTTCTTAATCTATAATTAAGATGCTAACAGCCCGTTCAGTCCAAGCGCTCCGGCATCTGACATTTTCGCCTCTCCAGCTCCCTCAGCCATTCCAAGTCATTTGAAAGGTTTTTTTTTAATAAAAATGTCATTTTCAAGTTTACAGTTTCATTCCAGATTCCAGCGCTCCTAATAACATGAACAAGTCGGTCCACTGGTCTCCGGCTTTGGTTCAGCAACACGATGACCGAAACTTCAATGCAACTGGAACCGTTGGAACTCCGACCGGCGGTCTTTCATCCAAGGCGAACATGTTCGCCAGCCCTATAATCAACGGTTCGATTTTTTTTTTTTGATTTCAAAAGGAACTCTGTAGCTCCACCGTTACGATCACATCGAGATGAACTGGAACCAGTGAAAAAAGCCCCGCGACGTTCTATAGCCACTCCTTACCGGATGAATACGCCGGCAAGTGCCACCGTCCACGAAACTCCTGAGGCTTTCGAAGGTGCTGACGACTCCGCCGCGACTTGGGTCACTTTGTTTGGCTTTTCCTCCCAGCAACTTTCCGCCGTCCTGCGGTTATTCTCACGGCACGGAGAAATCGTCAATCATCAGGTTTTTGTTGTTGTTGTTGTTGTAACTTTTCAGGTCAGATTGGAGACCGAAAGACCAATAATTATGTTTGAAGCTCATTTTTGTTTTATATGTAATATGATTCGCTACATTGGAATAGTCCGACGTTACCAACATGTTTGATTTTCAGCGTGAAAGTATAACGATTCGACCCGTCTCATTGAGATACGTACAAATGTCATAAAAATTATTTGGCGTTAGTAAGAAGAAATAACTTTATGATGTGCAAAAAAACTAGAAAAAAACTCCAAAAAAATTTCAAAAAAATTTTCGCTGCATTTTTCGACGCTGATTCTATTCAACTATCGCTACTACGACATAAGAAGAAAAAATTTTTTTTAAATAGGAAAAAAATTGAAAATTATTCGAAAAAACAATGCAAAAAAGGAAAAAAAAATGAGAAATCAAAGTAAAAATAACCGACCGCGTTGAAGCCCGCGCGTACGCACAGTATGCTGCTTTAATATTTTTTCTTTCTATTTTTTTTGGGAAATACATTTTACAGTTTTTTTCGCTACGCGTATCAAGTTTGCAAATCGTTTAGAGCTGTCTGATAGTGTTTTTAGTGTCCACGTTTTGAAACTACATGCTTTTTTATTTGACGATTTTTTCAAGTTTTAAAAATACTGCTTTTTATTCTCCGACGACTTCAAATGTTTCGCGGCGTTTTGAAACGGGAAATTGGTAATATTTATAATATGGAGATTCTATTTTTGAATTAAAAATTTTGAAGTTTGGGGCTGTGACTCGTTTCAAAATCACAAGTCTCTCGAATGAAAGGTTCAACGTTTGAAAAGGCTCGCCTTTCAGAATAGATTCAGTGCAACTGTGAAAGTAGTTTCGATTTTCTTCAGACTCCACCCAAAGGCAACTGGATGCACGTGCGCTACTCCTGCGTGGCTCATGCCCAGCAAGCTCTTGCTCGCAACGGAGCTCCACTCGATTCTGCTACTTACATTGGAGCTATTCCCTGTACAGACAAAGTTTTTCATGTCAGGAAGACCGAATAATGTCGTTCCTTGTAGGAGGTGCTGTCCGGTAAAGCTCAAGGAATCGTCGCACGGACCCCGGTGGCGACCAACCGCTCTTTACTCAACGAAACGATTCCGGAACAGCATGATGAGGTCGTTTTTTTTCGTTTTCGAAGTGTAATTTTCGATTTTCAGTTCATACCAGCTGTAACACCGGTCCGGAATATTTCACCTAATGAAAACATTGACAGAAGCGCTCTCAATACTTCTGTTTTTGACCCCAACGCTTCTTTGAAGTTGGCGAATTTCACAAGCTTTTCGAAAGAAGCAGTTTTTCAGCGCTTCTCGGATGTCAGTGCGGTCTGGTGTCGGAATGCGTTCTCTTTGTGCTGAGCAAAAGTTAAATGTATCCCAATGTTTATGTATGATTTTGAATATTTTGCTTTCAGGCGACTCCCCAACAATCCGGCATCTTAGACAAACTTTGGAACACAATGGGTTTTAACGGGGGAAATCAGTAAAATCATTATTTTACCAACTAATCCTTCTCAAAAACTTTGAATGGTTCAATCGTTTTTTGATTCGTTTGAAATCCCAAACTTATTTGCCTATTTGATATAGTGCACACTGGTTGAGTGTTGTTTTTCTTGGCTATTCTTGTTTTTTTTTTCGAATGAATTAAACCTTGTCTCATGTCGAAGTTTCAGTTAATTTGATATTCCGGTAAACCTGTCCGATGGTTGTTTTTTATTCGCAAAAGAACATGAAAGATAATTTTCGTAAGCGTGAGAAACCACTTTTTAGTTTTAGGAACGCGATTTTGAAAGTTTTTCATATAAGCTAGCAGAAGTTCACGTTTGTGCCGATCTTTTCTTGCTGCTTTGGAGTCGGAATGACAAATTCTAAGGAATATCTTCTAGAGGATCCCTTTGCTGTCGCCTTGTCCAAAGAGCAGGTTTGGTCATGTTTTAGCGCTTTTTAGTTCACGTTTTTTTCAAATCTCGTTAATTGATGCGATGCCTGAAAATTTCAGGAGTTTCGACACTCCTTGATGAAAAGAAATTTTGCATTTTATATCATAAAATAAAAGTTCAGTGTATCTTCTGCGGACTGATTTGTCAAAACACCGAATAACGTGGGAAAGTTCAGTTATTTTCGGATGGTGTTCAATGGTAAACATTTACTCGAGACTAAAAATGTGCTCGTTCTTTTGTTGAAACCAGTAATAAGTACCTTTGAAACGGAGCTCCAAGGAAATTTACATCTGTATTAAGCTGTTGCAATATTGCTCGCGGTGCCTACACAGAGATCGTCCCCTCTCGGTCTGCGGAGATTGTCGCGCGGTCGCTTACTGTTCGAAGCCATGCCAATTGGAGGACGCCCTGCAGCACAGCAACGAGTGCGACTCCATTCAAGTTAATCCCGCCTACTCCTTGAGCTCTTTTCAACTTTCGCTTAAGAAAGCTGGGTATGTGGCCAATGACTCTGTCCGATTATTGATGCGGATCTACGACTTGTGGAAGGCTGGGCAGATCGGAAAAGTGAAAGTCGAAGGAGGTTTCTTTCTGAACGGACAACCGAGAGAACGGAAGAGTTGAGAAACTCGCTCTCTGGAAACGCTTCCACTTCATGATGGAGAGTTCGAGGCAGAAGCTCAGGAGTTTCTTCTTTCCGAGTACCTTCCTTTTGGCAGGCAGACGCAGCCTGACCAAGTTCAAATCAAAAAGTGCGTTCCCTCTTTTTTTTCTATTTTTTTTGCTCACATAACTATTGGTATATGACTTTTTTCGAATTGACATGGTAGTCTTTAATTTGGAGACGTTCAGGATTTACAAGATGTTGATGACGAACAGTGTGACGGTGAGCAATCAACTGGGAACTTCCATCGGAATCGCTCTCTGTATCGCTCTTTCCAAAGCCGACCACTCGTGCAAACCCAACACTCGCGTCGCTTTCCAGTACTTGAGCTTTTTTGCTTGAAAATAACTTTTCCTGTTCAGTTGCCGGTCGGCCATGTTGGTGCCGACGGATCGCATGCCTACGGCCCTTTCTGAAGCCACTCACTCGTATATCGACGAGCTGCAGCCGGTTAGTGTCCGTCGCAAGTTTCTCAAGGTGGGTTATAACAGTTCTCTTCACAGAAAGGCTTATTATATATCAAATCAATTGATGGGAAAAATCTCTCCATTTTGGATTAAAACTTTCAGTATTGTATTAAGAAAGAAGAAAATGGAAGAAAAGATATAAGGGAGCCCGGTTGAAGTGTTTTTTTTTTCTTTTTTTTCATCCATTCAGTGTTAGAGTCGTAGTGAAAAAAATTAGAATCCATTTGATAAACGGAGAGTGTTTTCGAAAGAAGAAGTTACTAACATTCAAGGTGAAAACTGATTTTTCGACCTCAGTATTCATAGACTCTTTCTGAATGATTATGCATAGAAACCGGTTCCTTGTTCCAGGAAAGGTACCACTTTGACTGCGAGTGCGAGGGCTGCGTCGACGTGGAAAGAAACCATCTTCAGGAGGCTTGGCGGTGTGGAATTTGCGTCGACGGCTACATGTGGAACACGCGCGACAGCAAATGTTCACTGTCAGTTTACTGTTTCCAGTCACTCTTGGTTCCGAAACGGAAATTCTGTATAGGTATATTTCATCTTTCTCGGCTAGAGAGCCGTTTTTGTGAGCTCTCAACGCCATTAAAATTAACGAAAACGTAGTTCTTTCGTAGAATTTGTTTTCATCCATTCAAAGAAAAAAAAATGCCAAACCAACTTCATTGAATTTTTTTTTATAAACTCATTAATTTCATTAACTGGAAGCGAGAGCAAAGTCCGGAAATTCAGAAAATTCAAAAGTGGAAAAAGCACCGCTTTGCACATACAGATCAACCCTCTCTCGAAAAAAAAAATGGATTACAGAGTTCATGAAGAACCTTTTTATATCAATAGAATCGAGTATATAAAAACAAGTTAGAGTTAAGACAACTCTAGCGATCGAATTCTCGTCTTGAAATCGAGTTCCTCATATGGTTACTTGATCATTTGTCTATTGTTTCACACAATCATCGAAGCCAATAATTATTCCGAGTTTGCAGTTGTGGTTGGAAAATCAAGGAAGATTACTACGCGAAATGCGCCAAGGCCGACGAAATGGCGGCGAAAAATCTTTCGGTCGTGTCCCGCGACGATTTGCCCCTAAACGATCGTTTCATCCTTGCACAAAGAGTTTTCTCAGAGACAATTGCCCATGTTTATAATTCAATATTCTAGTTGATGATCACTTTTGAAGAGCTCTTCTACAAGTACAACGTCAACAGAATCATTCCCCTGAGAACCTTGTACGCAGCGTCCATCTGCAATAAAGAGTAAGTGGGGCGCGAAAATCTCCCGTGATTTGCTCTGAATAGCACATCGTCGGCAATTCGCTTCGGTCTCGATTTGCTGCAAATCCAACAACAGTATCAGGAGGAGAATGACATGGCAATCCTCTACTTGAAATTCGGAGTGGCGAAGGTAAGATGAGAAGATTGAAGATATTCACACAAAGAAAAAGCTCCCATAATAGAAAAAAAAATAAAACAGATCTCTGTTTTATCGCTTGCATGAGTCAAACAAAAGCTGAATATATAGGTATTCGTTTGAGGTAATGTTAGCCGGTGGAGCGATCGAAAGCGCTCGAGAGCTTCTGGAGGCGATTGTCGGACCTTATACTCGAGTCTTTGGACCGGAAGCGCCGCCCGTGATCAGTATCAGAGACATGCTGAAGCAGACTTCCAACTCTGAAGATGAGGATGAAGACGAAGACGAAGACGAAGAAGAGGAGGAGGACGAAGGGACGACCACAGAGGAGGCTCAAGACGAGGGGCAAGAGTCAGAGACTGAACATGAGGACAACGTCGCGCCAAAGGGATCCGTCTAATTTGTATTCTCTGTTAATGCGTAATTTAATTTTAACTACATTTTTTTTTAGATTTCCTAGAAAATTGTTTTGCTGATAACCTTCTTGTAACAACTTGAACTAAATACAAGACTTTTTTTTTTGAACCCATGTACAGTCGCTAATAGTAGAAACTTTATGAACACGGCCCCCTTAATAGTTTTAATATGTACTACACCTTTCTTTTTCGATCATCTAGTCGGGATTTGATGATGTGAATGTTTCTTGTGAATGTGTAAATTCAAACTTTGTTACTTTTTCTCTACTATTTTGCATGCTTTCTAGCCATCAGACTGACTTTCCTGGGATCTCTGTTCATCTGATGGGTCCTTTTTACTTTTTCTCTTCTCTCTATCGGTTGTGCTGTATCGTTTCGTGATGATTTATTATCGGGAATAAAAATTTCCATCATTTTTCGCCATTTCTTTAGCCAAACTGTCTAAGGTCAACCGATTATTTAAATTTTCTGTTGAAATTTATTAAAGAAAGCCCATCGAAAAGGTCTCGCATGTCGTTAGACTTTGGATGGCGAAGGTTCAACTTTTTCGATAAAAACATAGTCCAAGACAAGGAGAATCCAAGCGAAAAGTTTTTGGGCCTCAAGGTTTCATATTTTGAGGGAGAAAAAAAACTTGTTAGATTCACCTATCAGGACATAAATGTGGATTGTTGGTGCACAGCTGGCGACGCCGTCTACCTCGGCGAGTCCAAAGGCGGCGTTTTCCGGTTTTTATTATTTACCAAACTTTTTTTTTTTTTTTTGAAATGTGTGTTTTGTTAAAGGTTAAGTCATCAATTGGACGAGTCTTACTGGAAAGCTTATCAAAAGTCCCTTTCTTCGTTGCATTCTGCCGGCAAGTATCTCTTCTCCATCGGCGTATGTTTTAGTTATTTCAAACTTCTTTCAGCCAAATAAGACAGCTGTAAGAAGAAGAAAAAACCTCGAATATGTTAGCAAGTTCTCCGTCAGTAAGTGAGGTAAATCGAACCGAAAGTCGATATTTTTCTAAGCTCGAAAATATTCTGCTGCGCTAGTAACAATAGACCTTTTTCGAATGTGCAGGAAGATGAGGACGCCATCAACTCTTTGCTCAAAATCTGGGATCCTGAAAAGCCGGACAAGAGCTCGCCAACGTTGCGCCGAGAGGTTTTTGATGGAAAAAAAAGAGTAACAGTCGATTGTAACAGGTTCGAATGAATCCGCTGTCGGCGTCTTCGTGTCCGGCGTGCTGCGTGGCAGTCCATTCCACTCTGACGGCCATCGTTGTCGGGTTCGGAGACGGCGCCGTGCTTCTCTACCAAGGCGATGTCGTCAACGACAAAGTGAAACAACAAATCCCTGTGATTCGGAGACCATGTCATCTTTCCAGGCTCTCGGGACTCGATGGCAAAAAGTTCGCGAGTCTGCTCCGTTGGATGGTCCAGTTACAGGTGAGATTAATCGCTTTCCGCATGCTAAACTACTTGAGGACTGGCAATTGCCTTTCTGCCTGGCAACAAAACCGTTCTGTTCGTCATTACTCTCAAACACGTCTATTCATATGTCGTTGAGAATCGCGCAGTCACTAGCAAGGTTCAAAGAAACTCGAAAGATTCAAAGTTTGATGGGAATGGTTTCAGAAGAAACACGACGCCAACGGGGCCTCGACAGACTGTTGGACGTACGACGAGTCGACGGGACAACTTGTCGTCGCAAGTCGAGAGGTCCGTTGTTCTTCGGAGACATTTTTCAGGATCATCACTTTTAACAAGCTCATGCTCATAAATCTTGACTTGTAATTTTTATTAACATTTTCCTTCACTATCCACCGTAATACGCAATTTTTCAAGTACATCTTTTCAAGTACAATTTTTCAAATACAATTTTTTCAACAACAATTTTTTGTACTTGTAAACGTGCACTTGAAAACTTGTAATTGAAAAAGTGTAATTGGAAAAAATGTGCTTGAAAAATTTTAATTATAAAAATTTTATATAAAACTGTAAATGTGGCAGGGGTGTGGGGACGACAGTCCCCACCATAGGAGCAGTTTCTTCAACGGGGGCACCTAGTAATTTTCTTCCAATAGTTACAATTTTGCATCCGCATTTCTTCAAGATGAAAGATTCTAGTGTGTTTTCAAGTAGGTGATTGGAGCGTAATGAATTCCTCAACGTAATGACTTTCCCTTGCAAATCTCAATCACGTTTTTTTTTTCATTCTGACAGATGGTCTACTTTTACGAAGCGGACCAGAGCGTAGACGTCGACGGCGGACAAGGCCGGTGTCTGCAATTGGTCCGAGGCAACGACAAGCTGCAGCTCGTGGCGGCCGGCCAACACCTCGCCCTGCTCACCAAACAACAGGCCCTCATCCCGTCAGTGTCCCGTTGCGCCGCCCCAGAAATCCTCTCTGTGATATCAGATCTGAAACCGAGTACATGACCATGATAACGGTCTACGACGTCAAGGGCCAGTACATTGGATTTTCTTGCTCTCTTCCGTCTCTCTGCAGGTTTTTTAGTTTCCTTTTACTTGTTGCACTCGAGTTTTTCAGACTGTTTGTTATTGGAAATTCCATGCTGATACTGAGCAAAGACGGAACTTTGTCACAACTTTCGGAGAAAAATCTCAGCGCCAAGCTGGACATTCTTTTCAAAAAGAACATGTTCGATGTGGCGGTTGTGTGAGTTGAGATGCTTTTATCCGCATCTTTTGCAAGGATCCAGACTCGCCAAACATAGCAAAGACGGCGGCCAGCATCTCAAGTCGATTCATGCCAAGTACGCCGACTATCTCTACGGGTTTCTTTTTTTGCTCATTTTGAATCAAAAAAGTTGCAATTTTTTCAGCAAAGGAGATTTTGAAAATGCGATAAATCAGTACAAAGAGACGATTGGTATGCTCGAGCCTTCATACGTCATTAAAAAGGTTTTGCAGGATTTTTCAGAGAAAAATTTTTTTTGTAAGTGTTTCATCTCTAAAATTGAACATTTGCGTATAATTTAATTTGACATCATTTCAGTACATTAATCGTTTCACTTGAATCAAGTGTCACCTGAAAGTACAACTTTAGAGCTTTTCACCAAGTTTTCAAACAATTTTATATGTGAATAGAATTACTTTACAGTAGAGTTCTCAAAACCGAACGTTCAAAAAATGACCGTTTAAAAAAAAATGAACTTTTTCATTTTTCGATAGTTTACGGATATATAATTTTCAAACGTTCAACCAAAATGTTCGAAAATTGTTTTCTTATAATAATGAACGTTTGCTTTTCACATAAAAAATGAATGTTAATGTTTTGAGCAAACTTTTCACGAGCGGAAAATGAACGTTCATTTTGGTTGAACGTTCAAAAGCGAACTTTAATAAAATGACTTTTTGAACGAAACGTTCATTTCAAACTTTAAC